GTAGGTAGGTAGGTAGGTAGGAGGAGGTAGGTAGGTCGGTCGGTGAATTCTAGGCAGGCAGGTGGGTAGGGAGGAAGGTAGGTAGGGAGGGAGGTAGGTAGGTAGGTAGGTAGGATGGTAGGTAGGTAGGTCGGTCGGTCGGTCGGTAGGTAGGTAGGTAGGTAGGTTGGGGTCGGTAGGTCGGTCGGTCGGTTGGTCGGTCGGTCAGTCGGCAGGCAGGCAGGCAGGCAGGTAGGTAGGTCGGTCGGTCAGGTAGGAAGGTAGGTAGGAAGGTAGGTAGGTAGGTAGGTAGGTAGGTAGACAGGTAGACAGATAGATAGATAGACAGACAGACAGACAGACAGATAGATAGATAGATAAACAGTAGGTAGGTAGACGGGTAGATAGATAGATAGATAGATAGATAGATAGATAGATACATACATAGATAGATAGATAGATAGATACAGAGATAGATAGATACAGAGATAGATAGATAGATAGATAGATAGATAGATAGAATGATTGAAGTCTGCTGTCCCTCCCTGCAGCCGTTTACTTCAGTCGGCTACAACATCTTTAAAGTTGTTCTGTGTGCTATACGAGCAGTGAGGACCATAACAGTCCTCACGAGTGATACTTGAATACACGATCTTGCTTGCACAACGTAAACAGTCAGAAATACCTAGTACTAAAAGTCGTGGACGTACATACATGACAACCAAAAAACAACCTCAGTAGCAGGAGCAGAATCAACTGCAACAAACAGTCATAACCAGGCAGACACCAGTATGTCGGAAAAGATTCTCACAAAGATCGACAAGTAATGATGAATGCTAAAGAGTGAATACAACTACTCGGAAGGGTGGTGTTAACTTACATCGGGGCATACACATATACATCATCTCCGTGTGGATTCGAATTAGGCACGTACACACGAAGAGATAAAATGCACATCAACCGGACCCACATTCCGACGGTAACCGCATTTTGATATCGGTTGTGGCAACCTCAAAACCTCAGGTGAAATCTCGCAGACAGTGATGTGTTTTGGCAGTGAGCTTGTGGCTGTGGCCTTGTTGTACCAACCGCCCTCCCGAACCACCCGAGATCCACGTGCCAAGCATTGAGTTCCCAAATCTGCGGTCGAACACCCCAGCAGCGGGTTCCGACCTAAGCCTCAGCCATCCATCTGCGAGCTCAGGAATCCAACTGTTGATTGGAGATGTACTATGCCCGATCGTGCCCGGTTCTGCTTAATCGGTCGACGTTTGGATTCCTGCACACTACACAACCTCGGTGAGGGCGCTCAACTGGTTGAGGTTCACATGCATGCCACGCCCGGTCCCGAAATGCCAAAGCCCAGTGCCGACTCTGTTTGAGCTGTAGCTCGCCGTGGGTTAAGCCCTTCCGCCTACTACTGGTAATAGTGACACCTTCCATCTGGCTCTAAACAGAGTCATTATTACTATTGTTATTACTATTACTAGTATTACTACTATTACGATTCCTATTACTATTACTAGTATTATTACAATTACTATTACTAGTACTATTACTATTACTAGCAGTAACGCAGATGAGAGATCATTGGAGAACTCCCCGGCCTGCAGCACCAGCTCCTCGGCCAGAACTCGATGTCCTTCTGCTGCCTCCTCCGAGTCCTCCATGTCCTCAACTGACCTCTGATACAGGGTTTAGGGTTTAGGGTTTAATTTGGGATTTAGGGGTTAGGGCTTAGGGTGTAGGGTTTAGGGTTTAGTGTTTACGGTTTAGGGCTTTGGGCTTAGGGTTTAGGGTTTCAGGTACTGTGGCATATTCGACGATGGGAAAGGACACGGAAGTTTCATGAGTGTAAGGAACATGTGGGGCCCGTATTACGAGGAGCCCTTCTCGGAAACCCATGCCCGCAAGCTCTGAACGCCAGTATGCTATCTGGCCACTACCCGATCTGCATCTCACCTGGGGGAGCAAAGGACTCAATGCGATGCCATGGGTTGCATGACGGACGGAGGTAGAACGTTCGGCCAGTGAAACAGCCCATGAAACGCACTCAGATCGAGCGGAGCAGTGTGTCTCGATTTGCTGCCACATGAGTTTCGCAGCTCGATCTACCTGGTGATTGCCGAACTTTCTGAGGATCCTGCTCTGCCAACCTCAAAGCTTCTTTCAAAGCCTTGGCGGCCGTGATACATGCAGCTGAACCAAGTCTTCACGCACTAAGCTGAACACACCTGCACCGAACAAAAGCTTGAGCACACTGCTGCTATGTCCCTCTGGTCAGTTGCCTTCCAGGTGTACTGGACAGTCTTTAGAATAGCTGACTGGCTTGACGGGTTTGCAGAAAGCCTTCGCCAGTTCAGCTCGTGCTTGTTTCTGGCGCTCCTCCAGGAGGGCCTGAAGCAGTAGCAGATTTGAGGATGTGCCCGTTTCGTGAGGTCACGGAGGTCAACGGTAGCCCAAAGGACTGTGCGCTGCGACATGCTTGCCACACTACAATGGCACAGGAGCACCAACCAAAGAGCCACCTCCTCATATGGTTCCAGCTCGTCCTGCCACAGGCTTTCTACAGCTTTGACTCTCCAGCACAAAATTGCATGCGCCCCGCCTCCTCCAAGTCCTGTGCAAATTTGAGGGCCTGACACTAGGGACACGAACAGCAGCTCCGTTCAACAAAGCAAAGGCCATGCCAATACTTTGTATCCTCTTGTACCCTCTCAAACGGTCTCTGACGCTGAAAACCCACCTCCACCAGTTCCTCTATGTTTCTGGATTCCTCTGCCTAGGCGAGCAGAGAATACCCGCACTCGTCGCTCATAACATGAGACCAATGACTAGTATGCCAATGATGCAGATCTTGACCAGAAGGCATACAGTTTGTAAGATCCTACAAGAGATTTTGCAGCAGGAGAGGGTTGACAACCAATCCGACAAATCTCGACATGCGTTCAAGACCAGACGACAAAATTGAGTTCTGCGCGACACATCTCCCGACCACAAGCCTTCCCTGTCCCTGAAATCCGTCCAGTCCGGCAACACTACACTTCATTCAGGGCAGGATCTAGCCGATTGTCTAGCCCGGACGGATGTATGCAGATGCGTGTGCATCATATATGTATGTGAACATATATATATATATATATGTGTATGTATGTATGCATGTGTATATATATATACACACATGCATACTATGAAGATGTATGCGTCCTCAAGAAGAAACAACAGACTCACTCCCAAACCACAACCCCCATACGTAAACCCAACCTAAAGCCAGAACAACAACTTCAATACCAAAACCTAAAATCCGGAAGCTTGGATCCTCCCCAGACTTTGAATCATGACAAGTTAAACACTAAACCGAAAAATCCGCGAACCCTCAACCCTCGCTAAAACCAAAGTCCTAGACATTTATACACTAAACTGAACTGAACCATCCCTCAACTTTAAACCCTTTCCACCAGTGAAGCACTAAGCCCGAAAATTTTCCCTACGTCAACCCCAAGTCCACACACCAAGCTCTGAAATCCGAGAACCTTAAACGCTCGCTGAATCCCTCTCTACACCCTGAGTCTTAAATAATGAATGACACACTAAACCTAATCATCTGCAAGCCCTAAACCCTCCCCCAAACCTTAACATGCCCTCTAGCCTACGTCCTGCACACATGTACGCTAAGCCGCTAAACCCTAAAAATCCGCGAACCTAAACCTCACGTCCTACACTATCTGTCTCTAGGCCCTCCAATCCCCGAACCCCAAACCCTCCGAGCCCTTAACGAATCCTCCTCCCTACCCCTATGTCCTGAACATCTCAAGACTACCGAGCCTACACCCTCCCTAGACCTTACGTCCTACTCGACTCTAGGCCCTAGAATCCCGGAACGCTTTACCCTCCCTAAACTTTAAGTCCTAGACACTAAACGCTAGATCCTAAACTCCGAGAACCCGAAACATTAAATCCTGAACGTTTAGACCCTGGATCCAAAATCCCCGAAACCTTAACCCTCCCTGCCCCTAAGTCCTAAACACTTGAGAAACAATCATCAAAAGCCGCGAACCCTCCCTGAACCGTAAATCGCTAGACCCCCAAATCCTGCACATGTACACGCTAAACCCTAAACATCCTCGAGCCCTAAAGCCCTCCCTAAACCTTACGCAGCCTAGAACCTATACCCTAACATCCGAGAACCCTACACCCTCCCCCAAACATTTTTAAGATTGAAAGACTAGATGCAAAAATCCTCGAACCCTCAACCAACCCTCCCTACCTCCTAAATCCTAAACATTTCAAGACTAAAACCTCAAAATCCGCGAACCCTCCCTGAACCGTAAGTCGCTACACCTTGAATTCGCGCCGAAATCCCAAGTCCTTCACATTTACGCTGAACCCCAAACATCCTCGAGCCCTAAACGCCCAAAAAAACCTTACGTACCCTAGACCCTAAGCCCTAAACCCTAACATCCGAGAACCCTACACCCTCCACAAGCATTCTTAGGAGTAGAACACTAGATCCAAAAATCCTCGAACCCTTAACCAACCCCTACATATTTCAGGACTAAACCTCAAAATCCGCGAACCCTCCCTGAACCGTGAGTCGCCAAACCTTGAATTCCCGCCGAAACGCCAAGTCCTGCACATTTACTAAACCTCGAGCCCGGAACCCTCCTCAACACCGAAGTCCTGGACATTTAAACGCTAAACCCTAAAATCCTCGAAGCCCAAACCATCTAAACTTCAAACTACAGGATTAAATGCTAAGCCCTAACATCCGAACACCCTGCACCGTCCTTGACCCCCGAAACTTGAGAATCGGGTCTCTGGCGCACTGACCCTTGCCTTTTCTGTCATGTTTTCTCCCAAACTTCCCCAAAAGCCACTTGCCGTGCTCATAGCCTTTGAAGACTCAAAAAGCGCCCCTGTTCGCAGTCAGAGAGCACGGCAAGTGCCCAGTACGGCGCTGATAGTCCATCAAAGGGCGCCCGTGACAGGAGAAGCCGCGAACGGAGAAGATGTCTTAAGGATTTAGGGTTTAGGGTTTAGTCTTAAAGTCCATGCACACCTCCGACGAACCTCTAGACTCAGGGCACCGACGAGTGCCCGCCTGAAACCTGCCCTTGATTGCAAACTCCATTAGGCCTATTAACTACGCAAGTCTATTGCTCACAAGATGCTGCTCTCAGCTTCGCGAGCGCAGTTTCCCTCCACTCCAATTCTTGCAAGACCTCAGCAAGCATGCCAAGCGACTGCAGCAAAGGGTTCATGCCGCAGCTCAGCGGTGCAACTGCGCCTCCTCGGCGTCCGCTATGTCGTCTTCATCCACTCGAGCATCCTGGACTGTAGATGACCAGCAGGAAGCTCAAAGCATTCGATGCTGACCAGCCTTGGCCCATTTGATGGCCCATCGAAGCTTCTCAGCCTGGCTCATTGGAGTTTCACCCTCCGGATCAAGCCGTTTTGCCCCTCAAAACCGACAGGCCGGCATCCCGAGCATCGACGGCATCTTCTAGCTTCTCTGCAGCCTGAACACCGGCACAGTTCAAAAGACGTCAAGGCGTCAAGCAGTCGCTTTTTGCACATGGTCCTCGTCCCGCTTCTTGATCTCCTTCTGTGCCTTTAGCCGTCTTTGCGTGTGTGGGCAGGAGCTGGCTGAAGCTTGCGGAGCGAAGAACTTGGTCCCCGGCATCGATGGTCTGCTTCATTTCCATGTGCGAGAGGCCAGCCTTACATTAGCCAAACGAGCATCTGGCCCGTGTTTTCTACCGTGACGGGCAACCATTTGCGAATGCATTTGTGCGTGCCTTCAGTCTGAGAATCTGGACCTTTGGTATAAACACGAATTTTACCACCTCCGTACTTTCGGCGCTGGCGCTTTTGCAGATTGAATAACGAGCATGACGAGAAGCTTACTGTCCTCTTCACAGACCACAAGAAGTGACTGGTTGTCTTTCCCAGTTTCCCCGGCGACACCCTCTGATAATTGCTCTCGGACATGGCCCCGTTCCCTATTCACTGACCGTGCCTTACTTTACCTCTGCCGTGCCATTTTCGGTTTCTGCCTCTTGTGGTTGAGCGCCTTCCTGAGCTGTTTGCGCTGTTGGAACCTGATCCTTAACAACCGCCCAGCGGCGAGTTCGAAGCTCCGCTGGAGAAGTTCCATGCATATGCTTGCTTCAGCTGATATCTGCAGATGCTTGTAACTGCTCGTACGCTCAGAGTTTTGTGATTCCTTCTTTCTGACCTTCGCCCAGATAGAAGACATGTGACGTAACAAGCCCCCAAGCACCAAGCAAACCATCTCATGTAACACGCCTGCATGGCTGACTGGGACAAGCCACTTCCTGTGCTTTTTCAAGAGCTTCCTTGATGTGATGCAGACCTTCGAAGCAGATCGCTGTCGACTAGATCTGTAGCATTCCAAGAGTAAGGCAGCCAGTTTGACTTCGCGAGGATGCTGCTCTTTAGCTTCCGCGCTTGTGCCAAAGCCTCATGGCATCGAGAGCACACTGCCACAGCCATGAGTAAGATTGAGCAAGCATGCACGGCCCATGCAAAGCAGCAGACACACCCTTTTGCTGTGAGGACCTAGGAGCCGGCATAGCGGCTGGAAAGTTCGAGGGGTCAACACAGGGGGCCGGATAGCTGTGAGCCATCTGAGGGAGCTTCCAGGGTTCGTGGATCTCCTCCGTCAACGAACGAAGTTCCGGAAGCCATTTGCGCAAGTAGTCACCGCTGGGATCGTACTGATGAGATTGCTTGACCACATTGAACCTGTTGATGCGGCCACCAAACAAGCCAGCTGCGGAAACCCAGTTACACCAGTTGGAAGTCACGTCGTAGTCTATCAAGTATGTTTCAAACCATCTTGCACCACGTCTCCAATCAACCTTCAGGTCCCAAATGAGGAAGGACGCCACGTTTTGTCTTCCTCGGTTGGACATCCATCCAGTCTGTTTTAATTCTCTCATGTTGGCATCCACCAGTGGGTATCCAGTGCTTCCAGCGCACCACATAGCAAACTCCTCATCTCCACCAGACCAGTCAAGACTCTTGCCAATTACACCAGTCGCTTTAAAAATGCGGCTTCCATACTTCAAGGCCATAAAGCGAAAGAAATCACGGACGAGAAGCGCAAACAACAGCCAATATGTGGAAGCACTAGCAGCCTGCAGCTCCTGCTTTCGTAGTGCCTCAAACATTCGCCTGGGCGAAAGGCAGCCGTTTGCCAACCAAGGGGAAAGTTTGGTTGAAGCATCAAACTCCAGCATATTGTTTTTTGTTTCGGCATAGGTGGCCAGCGGCCCCAAACAATAGTGCTCTAGACGGTGCAGGCCGGCTTTCTCACCACCCTCAAACAGGGATGTGGGCACATCGGCATCACAAGACTGTGATGGAAAATTCATGTCCTTCCATGCCTGCTGATTCTTGGAGTCCTCCCGAAAAAATTCGGAGGGGGGCAAAGATCCAGGCTTGAGATCTGGCAAACACGATCGAATCGATAAGCTCGTCGTCGGCTTCGGCAGGTCGCAATATGCCTGTGGAATGGCGTTGCAGGCACATTTGAGCTCTGGAGCCACGGCATTCTTGAAAAGAGTAAAGACATCCGGGAGGTTAGACAGATCCTTCTCGAAGGGCAAGTCCTCCAGGTGAAGGAGCGTAGAGCCCCAACAATACTGCATTTCCACTTTCATGGCCTCCAAACGATCGCGCAGACGCTGATCCACCGCTTTCTCTTCCGCAGTGACCTCCTCCTGCGTGACTAGGACGGAGCCCTCGGGGAGGAGCTCGGGCAGGAGATCCTCGGGCTTCCCGCTCCGGAGAAGCAGGTCGGAGCCCAAGCCGCGTAATCTCGCCTTCAGGTCCAGCAGGGACTCGAAGAGAAAGCGAGCCCGCAAAGCCCCCATTCTCTCAGCACCGGAAGGCCATGTCAAGCTCCGTGTGTCCAAGACATAAATCAGAAAAGTTGGTAAACCTGACCTCAGTTGAAGAGGCAAGCGGACTGGTGAATCAAAGTTGATCAAAGTTGACAATTGGTACTTCCACCCAAATTTCTGCCACTGCAAGAAGGCAGCTTTTGAGATATCTCGGCTACCCGATGGAGAACCTGAGATGAGTTCTCCACTGCCGAGATCCACGACACTTCATTAGCTGCACCACCAACCACCCTGTTAGACGAACTAATTCGGTCACCCCGACATGCAGACGCCTCGTCCAAACGATACTTGCAGCGGAAGAACAGCAGAATCGTGAGTGCGCAGGTCGTTGCGCAGCCACCCGCACACCAGCGGCAGAGAGGCCATGATGCTGTTTTGAAGAGCACATGGGACGTCCAAGTATCCTATCAGGCGAAATTGACTGCAGCTGCGGCCCACTCAGCTCCCAGCCAAATCCGAAGCAGCAGGCATCAGGCAGGAAGAAGGTTTGTTTAGACTGGGCTTTTCTTCAAGATTTTGCGCCACAGCCATCGACTTCTTTGCTTCGATATTAGCATGGTCGCTTCAGATCTCAGCTTTAGGACTGAGGATATGCGTTTCTCACTGCAAAGGATTCTTCAGGGTGCTAGGCCCGGGAGAGCAGGTTGGAAAAAAGACCTACGTGTCGTGGAACACAAATGACGATCCGATAAGAAGCATGTACTATAGCAAATATAACATACTACAATATACTACTATAGTACGGCCGCATCGGAGTATGTTGGGCGGTTGAGCACTCAATGTCCGATCTGGGGCTGCAGCTGCACATGCTTGCAACTTCTTCTCTTGTTCGGCAAGTGCCTGGCCACTGCATGCAGCAAAGGGCACCGAAAGGACAAAGCCAAATGCATCCTTCCCGTAGCATGTAATCTTAAGGTGATTAGCGATGCACTTTCTTCGGTAAATCAATAAGCAATCAAACGCTCTCTACACAGAATCCTTTGTTCTGTACAGTGCCGTTGTAGCACCTTATGGAGAGATGAGGTCTCTTCGAGCCATTGGTTCCGCAGCTTCACTCGATCTCTAAGGCTTCAAACTGGCCACAAACTGCTTGATGCGCTCCTGAAGAGAGTCGCTTTGCACCCGCTGATGGATGGCCGCATGCAAGAAGCTGCCAATGCCACAAATTTCTGAGTTCATAGCACATCCTTCTGCAAGCCGTTCCCGAGACTGTGCAAAGGAAATCCTCGTCCGCAGGAGAAGCCCAGTGGAAGTGAGGGCTCACAAGTCTGCTGGCCTGATCAAGCCATCGCCACCAGCCCCAAAGAAGTTCCCGTCGAGGACTGCGACACCATACTCCTCAGCAATGCGTGGAACTATCTGGTGCTTGACTTGGAGTGTCAGAACCTCAAGCACGGTCCTCGAGCAATCTGTCCGCAAACTTCGCGGAGCTCATTCCAGTTCCAGTCACATTCGCAAGAAGGTACCTGGCATGAAATCCCTGCTGCTTCTAATGCATGGCGGTCTCTGGACAACAACTGGACAAGCGGTACCCACCAGAAGGCACAGGTGAGTAAAGCAGGACAGGAACACATAGCTCCTGCTGGACGCACAGCCACGGAGATGCCAGGAATTTCCACAAGCTTCTCGTAAACCAGATCTCGCCTGCATGCATCTCGCAAACCCCCCCTCCCCATTGAACACTGTACAGAAGCCTGGCTGCATACTCTAGGCGCATCGGGGCCATCACTTCCTGTGGGCAGATCGAACAGGATAGCAGCAAGTTGCTTCAACGAAAGAGCCCTCCGGAAAAAAACGGAATTGCCACCTGTCGCACCCACCTCCGGCGTAGCCAAAGCAGTTTCTGCGCCAGCTGCGACAAACGGAGGAACACCTCAGAAAACTTGCCTACGAGACATAATTCTGAAGGCACCCGGATCTGAGACTGTTGCAGGTCCAGCTATTGATTGCGAGGTTCTGGGCGGGCTCAACCAGCTCTGCCGGAAACAATCCGAAGCCCAGGCGCCAGCCAGTCATGGCCTCTGCATTTGCTGCAGAAACAGTTACAAGAAGCAAGCAAAGCTGCAAAGCTGAAGTCCCGGCGAAGGACTTGCTGCAACCATCCAAGATCACTGTCCGTTCCAGCATGTCCTCTGCGGGTCTCTTTGCTCCGACCCTTCATGTCGAAGTGGAGAGCAAAACATGGAACAGGAGCAAACAAGCAAAGCTCAGGGGCCGCCTTGCGCAGGGCGATGCTGTCAGGCTGCTGACCGTCGAAGACAAGCCTGGTGAAGTCTATGCCAGCTCATAGCACGTGAGCCTTCGTAGCAGCCACAGCGCCTCGCATAGATCTCGTCGCTCAACACCCAGCAGTTGCAAGCCTTTGCAATCTCTGCTGCGCAGTCGAGGTCTTCTCGAGTGAGCACCTTCGTCCCAAGGCGCGAGCCGCTTCAGCAAACAGTCGATGCAAGGGAACGTTCGCAAAACACAAGCCCAGCTCACTCCACCCGTTGGATTGCCAGGCGAGCACAAGATGATCAGCTTGGTGCCTCGTTCAGTGGTACCACGGCAGCTGGTCAGGGCTCTGTTCGATCTCGGCGCTCGACGCGGGGATGCGAGCCTGCGAAGCTCTTCCTTGTGGATGCCAGACTGAAAATTTGAGGAATTTCCGACCTTCACATCACTGGGCTCCAGACGTGGCGGAAACGGAAACCCGAGGCTTCCTCAAGCCGAAGGGGCACTGGCGTCGCTCCGCTCCACTCGATGGTGGTTTCATAAGCCGGAAATCCAGGATCTGGATAAATCACCTTCTGTGACACTGAGACTTGTCAGAATCGCCATAACGAGCCTTCTGACGTGCGCCGACAAGGCAAATCGACCCCACCTCGTCGCCTTCCTGTGCACCGCAGATGCTGTCACGAAAGCTGATCGGAAGAGGCCTCCACTGCTCTTTCCTCGCACACTGCTGCGATCGTGTGGAAGATCACAGGCTTTCCGCCGGGCATACAGAGCACCTGAGAGCATCAGGATGCAGGCAAAGCACTGCCATGGCCCAAGACCTTGGGCCTTGTCTGGGTCCGCTTCTAAGCCAGGCCTTCAAAGACCAGTCAGGGACAGGCAGGCAGTCCTACAAGTGGAACGTTGCACACGCCTCGTGCGTTCCAGATAAGCGGCAACCGCCCGACGCAAGGACGGAGATCCTCCGGCTCCCTGGAACGAGTAAGTTGATTGGCTTCCCTTCCGCAGAGACGAAACTGCTCAGGGCGGCCTCGTAGTGCGTTCGCCCTGCATGCAAAGCTTCCACAGCACTCGCCTTAGCTCTGATCTGCGGCATGCGACACAGGACCGAGCCTCTCTGAGTCAACTCTCGGATCTGTGCTATGACACGTCGGATCCAGAGTTCCCAAATGGCCCAGGAGGCATAACATGCATCTTGCACAAGAATTGCGAAAGGAGCGAACCACCCTGGAAACTTTCAAGTCCACGGACAGACCGGCTCACATATTCCCAGGCTGCCATACCCCAAAACCCTCAACCCGAAACAGACACCCAGAAGCCTCATGCCGCGATTTCCTCTGCGTACCCCCTCGATTCTGCAGCTGCTCGTAACCAACCCAGCGCAATTACTTCCAATCGTCACAGTTCAGCCCGCGACACATCCCTAAGGACCTGAACCTCAGTTACACCCGATTGGCGAGAAATCAGGCCAGTTAAGGTGGAACAGCGGATGGCGGGGTACATCAAGCCAGATCCGGAAACTCGTCTCTGTCGCCAGTCGATCGTTCAGACATCACTACCTCAGCGTCTGATTGTCGGAAGCGGCATTGGTGCTTGTCACCACTACATTGCCGCCCGGGAAGGTCTCCTCTTCAACGCTGGTGAAGACCTCTCGAAAAGCATCCAGCTGCGCAGACATCTTCAGGAAGTTTGTGTGATTCTGCAATACCAGACCATCCTTCTGCAGTAAGAGATGTAAGTTCTCCACATCCTCCCTTCCTAGAACGGTGTCCGTGATGTCAACAACGATCACATCAAAGTGCCGGTTTTGCTTAACCAAATCGCGAAGTGCTTCCTGAGCACCGGCAACCTCTGCTCGGCCCTTAAAGCCGAAAAAACGATGGGCAGCCTCCACGACTCCTCGAGAAGCCTCGATCGTAAGGATCTTGGCGTCGTCTCCGCACTCGTGTGAGATATAGCTTTGCATCGTGCCCCCTCCTAGACCGAGCATAAGAAGCTCCACAGGTTTTTTAGCATGACATCGCCCAGTGATCTTACGGATGATGGCAGCAACATATGGGAACGCCTCCCCGTGCAGCGTTTTGCGAAAATCTAACTCATCGCACCGCCACTTGTGCCGCAGGGTGCGGTCATCACAGCTGCCAAGTAGCAGGGGAACCCGGCCTTTGCATCGAACTTCGGATTGCACAAAGCCATCAGTATTCTTCCCATCCAGAATCAAGGAGCGCTTGTTGTCCGGAGTGATGGTGACATGGATATTCCTGTCACCCAAGACTCCGTCGCAGACTCCGATCTGAAGATCCCCGCTTGACGGATGCTCCGTGTCAAGGAATGTGCTATGCCGTAAAGGCTTCCTGGATGGTCTCCAAAGCAGCGCCTGCTCGGGGTGATCCCAATGGTAACCGACGAACTCCGTGCGCCGCGGCATGGCTCAGCGGTGCCTGGCTGTTAGTGTCACTTCATGCTGTGGCTAAGATAAGCAAAAGGGGTGCCGGGTGCGTCTGCTACAGGAAGTCCGGCTGACAGCTGCTGAGATGGCGCGGTTTGACCTGAACGCAGACTCCCAGACCCAGACCTAGACCTGGGTTTCGGACCGTGATGTGGTCTGGAGTGCTGAAGTCTGGATCACCTACCTACAATCCGCCACGATGCAAGAAGGTAACACGATTACAGAAGATCATGCTTCTCTGGGCCTCCATGCGGACGATGTCCTTCCCCTGCTTCTGCATTTGTAGTGCTTTGGCAACCACCCTTGGCCGACCGTAGTATCTCTGCTTCCGCTAGTTCTGGAAGTCCGCACAGACAGGATGCTGTAAGACTGTAAGATTATAGCAAGTTCAAGCTGGGACACGAGATCGTGCCTTCGCCGCGCAGAACTTTGGCTCTTCTGGCAATCGCCGGAGTGCCACTGCAGAGACTTCTGCATACCTGGAACCGCTTTGACCGCAGCCAGCGCGCCAACGCCGAGCTTCGGCCCGAGGCACACGTCTACGAAGCAACATGTAGAAGTAGATAGAAGTAGAATCAGTGGAAAGCGCCTAGCCATGGTTCTGACACTGAGCTCGCGGCACGGAAATGCGCTACACCGGCCCGCAAACGCTTCATGGCACGAGTCATTCACTCTGCTGCTTCGCTCTGGACTAACCGAGACAGCTTGCAATGTCGACTGTCCAAGCAGCACAAAGCCTCCTACTGCAAACGGCTCTTTACAGACAGCAAACCCACTTGCCCATGCCACGATGACACAGGGCAGCCTCGGGAGTTGTAGGCAGTCTTGTGGAAGTGTTTTTTCTGCCCAATGCGTTGTACAACTCTCTGCAGGCTTGGCGCACGATGGCTGGCGGCGGAGATCACCCCAAGCAAAGCATACAGAGAGAAACAGCTAGCTGAACCTCTCTGGCCGGACGGATGTCCGTCTCGTCAAGTTGCAGAGCCTGCCGACCAGGCAAGATGCAGCAAACACTATCTGAAGTAATACTTGAAGCACCTGACAAGGCAGCAGGCTTGCACACTTTGTCAAGGCCCATGTCGTGTGCTCTGTGCCTCTGCACCCCTGATAGCCGTCTTGATCGTCTCCATCCTTCATAGCATGTCTCATGACAACTATGGGGTCACATGGGGGCAACGCATTTTCCCCGCCTCTCGAAGTATGCGTCGCCAACTCCAGATGCAGCTCCTGTATTGAGCAGTCTCTCTCGGTAAAGTACCTACGCAATGTCTTGCCGCCCAGGAACCCATTGCTGGACCGCCGTACATGGCCGACATCCGTCTCTTGCCAAGACCTGCAACGGAAAAAACGAGTTCCCCGAGGTTCAATCTTCATCTTCTGCAAAGGCAGAACCGGGGACTGCGGATACCGCGGAAGGGCCCGCGGACCTGAGGCTCGCCGCCCGGCTGCCGGAGGCGCGTCTCGGGACCCGGGTCTGGATCCCACGTCCACGCCGATGGCCTCCAGCGCCGCCGACACTTCGCAGCACTGAGGCTCTAAGACTGGAGCCCTCTGCCCTGCCTGCAACGCAGCTTCGAAGTTCGCTTGGCTCCTCCCACATGCAAGGACTGACTAGAACATGCCAGAGCAAGCACCAAAGTGACCAAGTAAGACGCTCTCCATGTGTCCTGCGTCGCTGCTGCAAAGCTGCTTTGGCATTTAGCTGCTCTCCGCCTTCTTCAGGGAGATCTTTGCTTCGGGAAACTGCCGCCGCTCCGCTGCAGCGCTTGATCTCAGCCGGGCGGCAAAAACAACAGCTTTCGCCTGTGAGATCTGCAGAAGTTCAGGTCCCGACTGAGTCATAGAGCATGTCTCGTGCTGCCTGCTCAATCTCCTTTCTCAAGGCCTGGGCCATGGCACACGAAACAAGTCACCACAAAAGTCTCGAACGTTGGGCTCCGACCTTCTCTGCATCTTGGATGAGCTCCTCGGCCACACCTCGTGTGTCTTTTCCACCAGGAACAAGCTGTGGCTGGTAGCAACTTGGCTTTCGACATGGTGTGAGCACTTTCTGAATGAGGGCACGCGCATCTCTGATAGCAGCCTTACTCTGCAAAACTCGTGGAAGTGCAAGCTGTCGCAGAAACCTCTCTGGGCGAAGTGCCTGCAATTCGACGATCTCTCCTGCCTCGATGGCTGTAGAGAGTCCTGAAGGGTGCACTCCGACCTTTGCCAGGCCAGGCTCGGTCGCCGGGAGCTGGGCTCGTCGTGGCAGCGGCTTGCTGCTCGAGCTCAGCCAGCTGCTGGCCTGGAAAAAGGAGACGAGGAAAAAGGGGCTTAAGCCGTTTAAGCACGACTCATTGCATCTTAGCGCCCAGGCGAGCAGGAGCTAGCTCAGCTTTTGTCAGGCCTTGAGCAAGTGAATCTAAGAGCGGGAGAAGGGGCATGGCCGAGACATGATCAGCCATTTGAGGACGAGGACCGGGCCGTTAACTTCGGAGATGTTGATCGCTGCTCGGAGCTCTTGCTGGTTCAGACTTCGGTCGAGCCGCAGGATCCGCCTGTGCTCGCAGATTCCAGAGATGTCAGGAGACACTACCCTTCCGAAAAGCTGGGGGCGGCACTTCCGAAGTTGCACTTTCAGCTCCTCCTCTTTCAAGACCTCTGATGCCTAGGGTGCTGCGACGCAACGTGTATGCAGGTTTTAACATGACAAGCGCAGACACCTCGGCAATGGCCATCACGGACAGGCCCACGACCTGCGATGTGGATGCTCCCTCTACTGGTATCAAGTGGTCCTATTTTCATAGTGCTAGAAGGCCAGCCTTGGCATGCTCGATGGCCGCCAGTAGCGTGGGTATATCTCTCTTCTGAACCTGGGCAGCCGGGATACATGCCGAAGACCCCATACTCATCTGGTCTCCGCAAGGTAGCGAGGATCAAGCAGCCTCTTTCAGCTTTGCACGTGCCTTGCTCTGCATTTTGGGTCAACAGTCAATCCGGCACTCCCAAGGCATCTTAGGCCACAGCCGCTGGCTTGTAGGCATCTTCAACCAAGAGCTTCGCCAACGCCAGACTCAACAGGTGCCATACTTCACCACGAGCTACATCGCTTGCTGCAGGAGTTCGGATCGAAAGCTAAGCAGCATGCTCCTCCTCATCAATGCCTTTTTTGCACCATCTGTGTTGATATCATGTGCTCGCGCAAGGCCACGTGGAACGGTAAACAGAGCCCTTCCCATACACAAGGGCTGCCAAATGGTCTCAGCCTTCGAGTTCACGAATGCAAACCCGAATGCTTCTGCAGGGCTTGACTGCCCGCAGGTGTTCCGGCTGCTGTGTCCAGCTGTCGTCGGACCAGTCCGAAGTACTTAAAGAACAGCTGGGGCGAGTACCGGCGGCTCTCGCTCCGTCGATAGCTGGCCTCGACACACAATGCCACAAATGGTTTGGAAGGACATGGCACGAAAGGGAACAAGCAAACACTCGGCATATCTTGGCTTCGAGCATCAAGACATCAATTGTTGCAATCTCTACCGCCTCTTTCAAGATCTGCCTGGCAGCAACCTGACAACTTGGGATTTGTGTTCACGGAACACGCTGAAAAGGCAGAACATGCCTCCTGTCGCAACTGATCCAGGGCTGTCTCGAAGGGCTGAAGCTCCTCAGCCGTCATTCCTGGAGAATGTGAGCTTTCCCAAAGCTTCAAAGTTGCGGTCCACGGCATGGCTACCCACTGTCAATCGTCTCTTCCTCACAACCCACACCCCAAGAATCCCTACCACCTGTTCTTACGAAACCTACATTGTGACCCTCCGCTCCAAAAAGGCAAGGCGAATCACCTTAAAAACCGTCGCGGTCCCCACCTGCAGCTTTGCCTCCTTGTATAGCCTCGCGCAGGTCTTGGACGCGGCCTTCAGCCTTAGTAGCTCACACGCACAGACCAGAATTTCAGAGAAGCAGTTCCCCGACACACTCAGTGCCTGGCAGAGGCCTGACAAGCAACAAAGAGCATGAAGCACAAACTTGACTCGATCGACAGCTGGCCGAACCTTTTTGCCAAGGCGTGCATCCTTGAGCACGATTCGGGCAGCGGCCTCCAGTCTCCCAAGTCTTCTGAACGGACGATGCTTCGAGTTCGAGCCTTCTTCTCCTCCTGCTGGAGAACTACTCGCCCTCTCTGCAGATCAGTGGCTGGAAGTCCTCCCGGGAGTTGATTCTCTGCATCAGAACCACGAATCAGGCTTTGCAGCCGAAGCGTTCCCTGAACTCTATGCTAGAAGAGCCTTTCGAAGGTCTAAATTGCTGAACGTAAGCTGGCGCTTGTCATGCTGCTATGAGCCTGCTGCAGCAGCTGAGAGCAGACATGCTCGTAGCTCCATGATGGATCTGCCTGCGCAAGAGCTAGTTGGCACGAAAAGCGCGACCAACACAATGCATCAGAATCTAGTTCTACACAGCCTTGTATCGCAGCCTCAAGCTTCCTCAACGCATCTGCCTGCCCATGTTTCGCGCTTTGAATTATTCGAGAAGTCTGCAATAGTCTGAAAAAAAGGCATGCTGCCTGTATTTCCAGTCTCTGGACCTTCCGCCTGGCTAAAGCTTGCCCCAAGCTGCTCTCCCATGGGGCGGTAGCAGCGGCTATGGGGATGCTAAAGAGACCATGGAAGCCGGCCAGCAACACTTGATTGCTGTCAGCCTCGATTCCGTCCGCTTGTCAGCATGGAAACTTTATGAAGCGAGAAGCTCTGCGGTGCGGCAACTTGACTGGCGATTAGAAGTAAGACACTTGCTCTGAGTCCAGCAGACCCATTGCAGTGGCGTCGTCGATGGCCTGAAAGCGTAGGTGAGGGAACCACATAAACCACCAAGAAGCTCGGTAAACATGAGCAGAGCCTGCTGCAGCAACTGGATATCACCGGACCGTTGCGCCTGCGCACGAAGATGGACATCATGTTTTTTCAGGCCCATTCACCTCATGAAAACCATGTACCTGCAGCGATACACACAGCGCCTTGGAAACAAGCATTCTGGCATCTTGCTGACGCTTCAACATCTCCAAAGATGCTTCCTTGGCGTGTTAAACTAGCTTCTGGTTGGCCTATCCAATACGCGAGCTCCCTGAGACTCTTGCGGCTGCCTGCAGTCTGGCGGGATCTGCCAGGCAACATCAAGGCAGTCGCAGGTCACCGGGACGTCTTCCGACAGATGGGGCTCTGACTGACATCAGCATAAGCAGCTTGATTGATGGCATCGCAAATGGCGTCCACATCAGCACTTGCCCTGGTACGTCCAACTGTTCGAACATTCTGTGCAAGGTTTCGCTTGGGCCGGGACTGCATTGAAGTTCAATCATGGAAGCCAAATTGGGGAGTTTTCCGAATCTTTCGACGATAGCTCTTGACAGTTGAAGTGACTCCCGCGACACAACGACCACGAGAGTAGCCAACAGTTGGTCAGCCAGTTCTTTCGTTCCATACGTGATGGTCGCAACATGCTGAGATGCTCACAAAGCTCGATCGAGCTTCTGATTGGCATCTGCCTGAAAAGGAGTGCCACTACATCTTCAAGCTTGCATCTTCGCTGGTCCATGAGATTGGGCATGTGTTTGTCTTCAAGATGCAACCTGGCCGACCAAAGCAAAAAACGAACCAGCATGGCCTTCTTGGCCTCCACTAGTGTGTGTCTTGCGTGTTCCAGCTCCATCGGGTACAAGCAGCATTCCTGCCGACATCATGGAGGCTTGGACCTATCTGTGCTGAAGTGATGGATAATGAAGCTTGCTGCTTTGCCCCTGAGCACTCCTCACCCGCAATGAGAGCCCTCTCGATATCCGCGATTCTTCTGTCATGCATGGCCTCTCACAGAGATATAAATCGACATCGCCTCCGTTTTCGAAACTGAATGCGCGCCCGTTTGAGATTCCATCGAGCTTGTCTTCTCTTCTCCTCGTCGGCGACCACCTGGAGGCAAGTTACGAAGAAAGGGATTGAGTTGCAGAGATTCGCAGCGAGCACCTCGTCCAACATCGCCATTTGGACATCTCCCCCGCTTACAGAAAAGTCATATATTTGAAGACAAGCGAAAGCTGTGATGGCGGCTGGTGCCTCGACACAGCGTCAAAGCTGCTATGCTACGGGTAAAGCTTCGGCAACACCGCCTGGACGGCAACTTGTGTAATTACTGTGTCGAGTCCTTCATATGCAAGTCGCAGATTATACACAACATGAACACATGTCTCGCGATACTCGTGGTGTGAACGCCTGCTCTTGCTTCCAGCTTCTCATGAACCGAAAACTGCTGTCGCTTCTCCGTCACAAACAATCTCACATGGCAGGAGTCAAGAGCTGTGATTCGCAGCAGTTCCTGTGGATCAATGCAACCAATATGCCAGAATCTGACACTTCCGGACTGCCACTCAGTAGTAAAATGGCTTCCTGTGCAGCATGCCAAGTCCAAACCCTGCGGCTCCTTAGTGCCCGGAGTTAGCTCCAGAACCTTCATAGCTGACAGAAGCACTTTCAGCCAATAACGAGCCTGTGTTGCTTCCCAAGCTCTAGCCGAAGTCACGTGTCAGCTTCTTTTGTTTGCTCCGGGTTCTACCGCTGTGATAATAACATGACATCAAACAGCTGCTGCTTCCATTGCATGTTGATGCATAGATGTCCTGGTCTGGGCCGGGCCGCTCGGGTTCTTGTGAGCTAAACCTTGGCCCGAAAACTCAGACTCTGAAACCCCGAACCCTATGACCGTGACCGCAAACCCGAAACCCTGATCCCAAGTCGCAAACTCCAAGCCCCGGACCCTTCGGCAAGATTTTTCACAGGAGCACAGTCCTTTGGACTCTCCGGGTTTGTCGACCGAGGGCACACCTCGACCCGCGGAAAAGCCCTGCTGGAAGCAAGGTATGGGAGCGAGGCCAAACTTTCTTGTTCGGTGTGCAGGCCAGGGTCTAGGGCTGAGGGTATAGAGCCCTTCAGGGGTTCGGGTCTAGTCTAGTTAGTCTAGGGCTTACGGCTCAGGGCAGGGAGTCAGCCGTGGCCCGATCCACCGTGGCCCCTTCCCAAGAGTTTATTGGCAATCTTGAGCGCAATCTCCTGCTCACTCAAGCCTGAGTTGGTTTAAGGGATTAAGGAGTTTGAGGGTGTTGTGCTTGTACATTTTCAGGTTCGGGTTCAGGTTCGTGCTAAGCCAGGGGGCTGCAGCAGTCGAAGAAGGAGATATTGGGCCGCAACACCATCCGGAGGAGCTTCCGGGCCTCTCCCTTCTGATCCTCACACAGGGGTTGGGCTTGAGGGGCTTGGAGCTTAGAGTCCAGGTTACGAAGATTTGCGACACGCAAGCACCCTTTCAGCGCATGAACTGAGCAACAGAAGACCATGCCCGGAGCCGAGGAACGTACTTGTGGTCAGGGCCACTTGGAGGCTGTGGTGGGTAGACATCTGCCACCTTCAGCGGCAAAACGTCCAGCTGATAATCCTGCGCATACCGCAGCTCATGAAAGGAGCTGTACGGGGACGCTGTCTTCTCGCCGTAGTGCTTTGTACACACTGAAATCATGAGCCCCTTGTTCTCAACAAGCTCGTCCAAGTAATCCATCGTCATCGTGCCAAAATTGTCACCAGCATCCGCGTCAACCATGAGCACGTTGAAATTATGGTTCTTCCTTGGCCGTCTTGCTGCCTTTTTGAGTTTACTACGGCATTGCGGCTCATCAGAGAGTAACCCATGTCGCACAAACGCACTCATCCACCTTTGCACCCCAGACAGCCTTCGCATGGCACTCCCGGAAGCCTCAACGAGGAGCCTCATTTAATGAATCAAGCATCCAGCCACTAATGGATGGAGTTTGGTAGTCCTTTGGTGCACACCAGGCGTCAATAGTTGGTGTACTCGGCGAAACTTTGCCTCTATAGGCCCATTGTCGAAGCGCAAGGAAAACATCGCCAGCCTGGCCGCTAGCCCCCCTGAAAGGTTCCTCTCCGGCTGTCCTCCCGAAACCCGACAGCTTAAACCCCGGACACGGCTTCCAGCACCGGGTTAAGAGCTTGGTGTTGGGCGCAGTATGGTTTGTGGTCGTGCGGCTTGTCGCCGCTTGGGTTTATAATGTTTTCCGTTAAGATTTACCGGTTAAAGTTGTAGAAACCAGGACCTAAAATTAGGGGCTACAGAGGCCACGGCGGCTTCATGTCTCGGGTTGGTGTGAAATCCAGGTTCTGCAAATGCGCCGCCCTCTAAGTTTAGGCTTTAGGGTTCAGGGGTCAGGTTTGGGGTCGAGGGTTTAGTTCGTGTCAGACGAATAGTAAAAGAGCCGTGGCACTCCAAACTAAGGAAGCAGCTAGCGACGACCATGACTGCGTGAACCCTGACCCCACCAAACTCTTACCGCTGAATGCCAAAACCCGGAGTCTCGCTGAGGCGGTCTCCGGGTCTTTTGTGTAGATTGTTTGATCTAGCTCAGGTGCAACCCACTCAGGTGGTGTCCGCACTTTGAGCTTTTGTTCTAGGGCTTACTGCCTCATCCCCCAAAAATACCTGAACCCTTGGAGCACCAGTTCCTTGACCCAGCCTCGCACCGGCACCGTCAGGGAGGTCAACGCTCTGGCCAGGCACGGGGGTTGGATAGCCCGCCTGGAGGCACATGCAGCTTCCAAACTCTGCTGCTGAGGTGCAGGGCGTCGATTGTTGACGACAAGAATCGGCATTGTGTTGTGGGCACGTAGAAACAAGAGGGCTCATGCCTTTGAGGGCCTCAAGCCCTGCAGCGTCTGTGTTTCTGAAATATCACTCCCAACCGTAACCATAAACCCTAGAGACCCGAAACCCTCACCACCAAGATCCAAACCTTCGAGCCTCAAAGCCCCTGCCTCCTTGGCAGAGGCTTCTGAAGTCGGCTGCTCCTTTGCAGGCTCCTGACAGGTTCTCTGCACCCTAAATCCCACACCGCACCTCAGGCATGATCAATTTCAAGTGGTCTCTCCACACCCACCCTGCCTGCACTTGGTCTGCCACCTTCTTGGGCTCCTCTGCCTGTGCAGGCAAAATAGACCCTGACGTTGCCCGAACCTGCAAGTCATTCCAACTCCGGGGCGCTTCAAAGGGAACGTCCACTCTTAAGCATTACAGCCATGATGTCCGCCTCTGGCTGTGCACCTGGTGCTGTCTTCTCGCTGGCCTGCGAAGACAGCGAACCTCTCTATTGGACTGTAGAATCATTTTTCGCGGTGTGCAAGAGCTCCGAGCCTTGATCTCCTCTTTGTTGGCATCGTTCAACCCCAAATTGTCCAAGGCGTCCGCAGCGGCTTCCGCCACATCGTCGTGATCGGACGCTTTCAGCTTCACCAAGGGGGCAATGGCGCCTGCCTTCCCTACGGCAGCCCGAAGCTCCTCACTGTGGGATGCCAAGTTTGCGAGGGCGCCCGCCGCCCTGCGCTGTCGGGTCGGACCCGGCGATCTCAGCAAGTCCACGAGCCCTTCGATGGCGCCCTTCTCCGCCATGAGCTTGCTGCAAGCTTCCAAGTGGGAGGCGTTGCGGAACACACCCGCAGCATCAGCCTGGGCTGGGGCGGTGCCGTTCCTGAGAATACTCACCAGGGAAGGGATGGCACTGGGATGCTCGACCAGTGTCCGAATAACACTGTCGCAGACGTTCACGAGGAGCATCAGAAGCCCTGCGGCGTACTCTTGCGCCGCGCCATCTAGCAACTTCATGACAGGAGCCATGCCACCCAGTTTGATCACGAGGCGTTCGAGGACGTCGTCATCTTCGTCCTCGCACGCGCTAAGAAGCGCTTCTGCAGCAGCTTTGGCATCCGATACCATGTCGCTCTTCAGCTTTTGCACATTGGCATAGACCGTGTTCACCTTGCTGGCAACAATCGCCGCTTGTGCTTCACGAGTTCACAAAACCAATGGCAAGAGAGGGCCGCTGAAGCGGGCTCTTGGGAAAGGCTCGCTCGCCAAGCTTCGGTGGCTAGAAACTCTGAGATCCCAAACCTCTTAAGAGACACTCCCCTAGATGCAGAGAAGACGGGCTGAATGAAACCAAAATCGCTCGGGAGCTTGAAACGCCTTGCCTTCACCCCGGAGCATCAATACATCCTGATTCCCTCCGGCCTGGGCGACGACGTCCTGGTTAGCGCTGTGGCGCCCCAAGTTCTCCAAAGCCTCCGTGGCTGCTTCCGCCAGATCCTCGTCGCGAGACGCGCGCAGCTGCGCCAGCTTGCTGAGGGCATCCCTCCCCACTTGGATGCCGCTGTACCTTGCCAGATTCGCCAGCGCTTCGGTCGCTCGGCGCTGAGACACAGCGTCGTTGATAACGGCTGTCACGAGGCCGATGAGTCCCTTGACGGCGCCTTCTTGCTGGGCCACCATCTTACTGCGAGCTTCTGAGCCTTCGGACAGATTTCGGAGGATGGCAGCAGAATACGACTGGGCATTGCTGGTGCCTTTCTGGAGAACTTCTGCCAGAGAAGGGATGGCGCAATGCTCCTCGAGCAGTGCCTGCTTGGCACTCTCACCTGCCTTCACGAGGCTCATGAGAAGGCGGGAGGCCATCTCTTGTGGTTCTTTGCTGCTGAGCAGCTTCACCACCAGGTGCACGCCACCTGCTTCGAGAAGGGCGTTCCTGTACAAGTTGTCGAACTTCTTGTCCTCACCTTAACTGAAGACGTCGCATGGCTTTTCTTCTTCAGGAGTACACTCAAAGTCTTCCAACAGGATAGATGCTAAGAAAGCCAAGGTGCACTTGTCACCAAGAACCTCTGCGGCGCGTCGCGCCTCCGAGGAATTTGCGCTCCCCAGGCTTGCAATCTCTTTTTGGATTGTTTCCTTGATGGCTGTGACCTCCAAACGGCAGCATTTCGGGTTCAGGGTGGCTCAGGGTCTCGGATCAAATCTAGGATTATGGTTTCGGATAAAGGGCTTCGGGTGTATCGGGGCTGAAGGGTTCCTTTCCTCAAGGGAGCCGATCGCAGACTTCAAACGCAGAATCCTGAAAGCAAAACTCTACCTGATCTGCTTCCGGCACGCAACGCGCCCCAAACCTGATAATAGCCTGATAATCGCCTACATAGACCCTGGAACAATGAACCCCAAACCCTAGACCGTCAGGATTTCAGGCTAAGCCCTCGAACCTCCAAACGCCGAGAACCCGAAGCCAACGCCCGGTTGCTTCTTCCGTCACCAATGTTGCAGGGTTGAAGGTTGAAAGTTGAGGACTGGGGCGAAAAGCTGCATCGTGGTGTTCAAGATTTGGGCCCCGTTGACTGTTGTCTTGGCCTTAACTCGGTGCAAATTGACAGGAGTCAACCTGGTTTCTGTCTGTCGCGCCTGAACTTGGTCGAACGACCGGTTGTGCTGCTCAAGGAACTGCTTCGTGTCACTGGCGATAATGCTTCGCTTCTCCTTCAAGGGTTTCTTTAATAAGTTTACAACCAGAGTACAAAATAATTCCAAATGACTTCCTGGAGTTTGAACACATCAGGGCATTTGCTGTCAAGTTTTTTGGTCGACCTGGCCGGTTCGTGCCACACTCCTTGTGGAACCCTACGACTGAACAAACTCCAAAGAGGTACAAGACTGACGTCTGGCCCAGACTGACGTACGGCCCAACAGCATTGTCCCCCAAGAAGCCTTGTCCGACTCCATTATGTCGGAGCTTGCTGATCTTGAGTGTCTGCGTTTCCTACAAACTGTGTAACACTTGAGCCGTAACATCGCGGTTCGAACAAACTTGTCTGTCTGCAGAAAATCAGCCGTTTACACATCTTGATGGATGTCCGCGATTTTTCGCCACGTTGCACGTGGCTCATCCAAACGTCACAGAACTGCCACCCGGATCTTTCAATATAATGCAAACCACAGTCCCACTTTCACGGATGTGTCATGATGTGTCCGTTCTGTGAATTGGGGAATTGTCTGCGAAGAACAGATTGGGCACAACAGCTTAGTCATTGTACCCGGTTCACAATGTGCAATGGCCATTCTTGCTCATGTGGCCCTCATGCATGACATGGTGCAAAACAGCACGTCACAAAAAACATGCGGACAACTATGTTCTTTCTGGGTAGGCGTGCCAGCCTCGAAGCCGCAGCTAGCCGAACGATGCATGCCACGTGTGCAAGCGATCATGCCGTGCAGAAAACATCCATGATGACGGAAACGAGAAAATGCCACAATGAAAAACCGATAAGAAATTTCAAGCAAGCCTCGGAAACAAAAAAAACATTTCTGATTTTAAGGCTGTCTTCTCAAAAGACCGCGACGATCCAGAAAGCCTGGAAACACTCTTGGTCCACATGCAATTCGAGCTTTTTTAAATAGCGCGATTCGGCCCCACTGGCTGCAGTTAGCAGCACCCGGTCCGATTCAAAGAATAAACGTCACAAAAATGCTGATCGAAGAGTGTTGTACAAGGTGGAACCTACGTGCGTTGTTTATCCCGCTGGATCACAGTGAGCTACACTACGCACAAAGCGAAACTACCTTCGTTGGGGAATGCTGACTTTGTCAACAAAACTCCCTGACTTGGCAGCTTGGCATAGAACGGGAACTATGATGGCAGCATGACTGGGCGAATACTGTGCCGTGCGTGAGAGGCGGACGGGGGGGCTGAAACCCAAGAAGAACACCAAAACAGGGTACCCGACAACGAAACGACCCAACCCGAAAAAAATCCAACACAACACCTGACAAGAAAGCCAAACACAACACCTGACAAGAAAACCACACACAACAGCTGACAAGAAAACCAGACACCACACTTGACAAGAAAAACCACACACAACAACTGATAAGAAAACCCAAAAATCGACGCCAAAATCCTAAACCCAAAACCTATCAAACCTAAACCCTAAAGCCTAAACCCTACACCCTCAACCCTAAACCCTAAAACCTAAACCCTCAACCCAAAACCCCAACCTTGAACCCTAAAGCCTAAACCTTACACCCTGAACAACCGCAAAACCCTAAATGCCAGCGGGGGTGGCTGCCCGCGGGCCTGCGTTTTTGAGCAGGATCTAGGGCAGTAGCTTTTCATCTTTAAATCTTTAGCCTCGAAACAGACAAACAATATCATGTTGAATCTGATCTGAAAAGTTTGCGGGGCGCGACCTCTCCGGTGGTCACCCAAACCTAAACCCTAAAGAAACCTAAACCCTAAAGGTCGAAAGATTTTACCACCTGAAAGGTCACGCCCCCGCCAAAAGTTTCTTGATAGCTGTTCAAGCTGCTTTCGTTGTTTCGGGAGAAAATATCTTTTTCGCAACTGATTCTTTGCAAAGAAAGTCAACTTGTTCAGAAACACAAGGCTGTTTATGAACAAGTCGCTTATGTATAAAAAAAAAAAAAACACGACGCCATCTCAGATGCACGCACCGAGCGTTGACTTCAAAAGCACTACTTTCGACGCGAAAACTTGTCTCTTTCTTAAACCAAAAAACCCCATTGGAAATCTCTATTAAAACCGAACCTTCTCATGCTAACTTCCAGCAAAACAGGCATCTAAAAATCAGTTGGACTCAAACTCTCTCAAAATGTCCACTACAAGCTGCTGCTGCGTTTGGTAGAATGCAGAAAGTTTTCAAACTTTTGTTTGAAGCGAAGACGCGTTCAAGACAAGCAGCAACTGGCTGTAGCATTGTAAGACAATGGTCGCTCCGTCTGCAGTTCCAACATCCAAAAGGTGACTCCAGCAAAAGGTAGAAACAAAATTGCCTAAACGGAGGGGGGGAGGGGAGAAGTGAATTACGGACGCCTACAGGCGTGTAATGCGGTCCAATGTATCTGCAGCAACGGCTGCTCTTTGTATTTTCTGTGATTGTATTGGCTCATGTGGTTCTATACTTCTAGCTCTTGTGTGCAGGGGTCAAAAGGGTCAAGTCATTAGATCCGAACGGACCGACTGTCTCCTTTATCCTCCCCCTGAAGGGGATTCGAACCCCATACCCAAAACACCAAACCTGAACCCAACTCCTAAATCCTAACTCCACCGCATGCGCACGACCGAGCGTTGACCTTCGAATCCAGCACAGATGCACGTACCGAGTGTACGTCGTGTTCCAGTCAAATACACGAACGAACTCTGTTTTCCCTCACAGCTGGCTTGAGGCATGCAATTGCGAAGACAGCAATTGGAGCCTGCGCCGACTTTTCTCCTCACAAACAAAGACAGCATTGCTTAGAGGCTGTCACTTTTGCTGCACCCGAGCCAGTTCTGCAAGAAGTTGGACAACAACAACGAATGCGACTACTACTATTACTACTACTACTACTATTACTTCTACTACTACTACTACTACTACTGCTGCTAGTACTGCGACCACTACCACAACTACTACCACCACCACCACCATGCACTACTACCACTACTACTATTACTGCTACTACTACCACTGCCACTACCACTGCCACTACCACTACCACTACCACTACCACAACCACTACCACTACCACTACCACTACCACTACCACTTCTACTGCTACTCTACCACTACCACACCACTACCACTACCATTACCATTACCACTACCACTTCCACTACCGTGCACTACCACTACCACTACTGTGTTTCCGATCTTAAAAATGGACTTTGGAGTTCACAGTGACAGATATCTTGGTGTGAGGGCTTCGGGCCTGCGTCGCAGCGGGAAGCGCTGCCTCGCGATGTCATTTCCAAAGAAAATCTTCGAGAACTCAGGGCCTGCGTCGGGAGGGAACCTGCACTCGTCGTGACATTTTTGCTGGAGAAAGTATGAGAGTGGATCTGCATCCCACTGCGGATGCGAACTACAGCAACTTAATGGGCAGAAGTAGTCTTGAAAAAACGGCAGCGGTAGCGATGAGTGACTGAAAAGAGTTGTGGCGTGCTGGCGAGATGTGCAAGGCTTGTAGAGATGCATTTGCACATGCAACTTCAGGATCTGCGCCGTTGGTCAAGTCCCAGTTATCTTCGCTCTTTTCCACAAGTGCGTTTCGGTGAACAACAGCTCAGACTTTCCGTGTGAAGGCGTTCTTGCCGGCTGCGTGCTCTCAAAAACAAGAATCCGGATGAAATTGTTGCTTTTGGGCGCGAGTGGAATAATACTGCGATTGGTTGGAATGACTGTCGATGGTGCAGTTCATCCCTTTCCTTTTTTGCATTTTTTTGTAATTGCTGGTTTGGTGGTGTGGATGTTTGAGTGTCGGTTGGTGGGCTGGAGTGGTGGGTGGGTGATTTGGGTGGGTGGCTGGGATTTGGGTGGGTGGTATGAATGGATGGGTTGGTGCGGGTGCGGGTGCGGGTGCGGGTGCGGGTGTGGGTGTGGGTGTGGATGTGGGTGTGGGTGTGGATGTCGGTGGGTGTGGTGTATGTGAGGCAACCAGCGCCAAATACTTTCCTGTTGCAAAACTTGTTCCATCGCTCATATCTGAGTAATTTTGCAAGATGGTGTCCAGCTTTCGTCAAGACTAATGCACACGGCAGGAAAGGGTTGGAAACTGAAAGCCCTGCAGTTCAAGAAGTGTCGAGCTTTTTCGGGTACAGTCGTCTTTGCCACGAGCCAGTTGGTGGCCGCCCAAACGCATGAAATGGTTGCGTGGAGCAGTGGCTGGCTTTGCTGGCAAGAAAAAGCTGGGAGCCGCTGACTCAGGTCCAGCCAAGATCCCAGAGAGGCCATCATTGTCCCTCCTTCGTTCTCACCCTTTGAAGCCTTCGTCCTTACCCTTATGCTTTTGAAGCCTTCGTTCATTGGAAGCGGATAGTTCGGGCGAACAGCGGAACCAAAAACATAACATGGCATTTTGGTGCTCAACCTGGCAGTTTTATTCTGCCTTGTAAAATTTGGCATCAAGACTGCACAGGCAATCGTGACTCCATGACAACATGGTTGTTTGTCAGATCCACGAGAAAATACATGTGCAAACACATTCGAGAATAAAATGTCTCTTGGACTGCAAGCAACGTTTTGGTGGGAAGTTGCCTTGATCTCAATCAGCACAACCAAAATTGTCTGTGTGGATATTTTTTTTGGATGCTTGGCCGCTGTGGGCATGGATGGGTTTTAGTACCAAGGTTTCAAGCTTGATTTTTCATTTGTCTGTCGTTGTTGGGAATAACACTATTGTGTTCGTCATATGTCAGGGGCTCATGACAAACATCCTAGTTGCAATTACATGCAAGCATTTGATTTCGTTTGTCCCTGTCCGACAGCATGTTGACTTGGCCAGCCCCCACGAGGGAACCGCTCTTCCCAGGCATGATGGAGCAGTTCTGTTGTGACAGTGTTGTGTTTGTGTAGACAGTGTAGACATGGGCAAGATGGGTCGGTGGCTGTTGCCATGTTTTGCACTTGCCAGCTTGATAATCGCCGCTGAGACGCAATGTCCGTGCAGTCTTATACTTTGTCTTGTGGGTGATGCATTGCATAAACAGGGGACACCTAAGGTGGTTTGGCATGAATTGCCAGCACCGTCAAGTGCGACACCAGGCTTGACCGGGCTCTTCCTTTTGTGCTATTAGCACTTGATAAGGCATTGCTCCACAATTGCGTGAGCAATATTGCAAAAGACCCAGTTTCGAAGCAGCAGCTTCCATGATGACCATGGTGTGCCCAAGTTGAAAAGCTATACGGCAATACGACAGAATCCATGACCAATCACGGCAAATCTTTGCAGGAAGTGCGCGAGTTCCAGAAGAGACGCAGCTTTGACGAAGTCAAAACGTCAGCTGTGCGGTTTCGTTGGTTTTTGTTGGCATTAGATTCTGCTTGCGCAGCGAACGAGTTTCAGTTGTGTTTGGTGACTCATTGGAACTGATGACGCACTGTGGTAGGCTTTCATTGTTTGAGTGAACCCGAGCATTTTGTGTGAAGCTTAGAACTGTTTCTGCAATCGGAGTTCGCATCGCCACAGTCCGACTCACAAGTTCCAGACCTGAACGACTTCCAGCAGTGTAAGTGCAGTTTTGGGACTAGAGCCTTCCCTGATCGAACCAAACTTTGCTCGCTGAAGGTTTGTGGCCGTTTCGCCTCCTCGGTTTCGGCACGCCCGAAGCCGGGCTGCTGTTCCACCAACGTCACGAAGCGCCCTACCAGAGGCCGGATCGTAGTTATGACATCGCTGTGGAGGGTGAAAGTGGCAAAGCGCAGTGTTTTGGCGCAAGGGGTTTCAGCAGACATGAGAGGCTGAAAGTCACACGGCCCGAGAAGAGAGCATGGATAGCAACACGAGACATTGCTTAGGTGTGAGCAACTCTAAAATGCGGCTTTCTCTGGACTTCTTATCCAATCGTGTGTTCTGCTTCAGTGGTAGAAAGTGTTCGCATTGATGTGTTTGCTGTTAAAGTATTGGAGACTGCGCTTCCATGCCTAGAGAAGCTCCTTTCAATCTGTATGTCCTTCCAGGTTTCCCTCGTTCTGGCAGATTTGCAGCCAACTCCAGCCGTCGGGCGCTGTGCCGCATGTAAGCTGGCAGAGAGCTTGTTGAGATGAAGGCAGGCCTCTTCCAAGGGCATGAAGTTCTCCGATGACGATCGACCCAGGTCGTGTCTTCTGCCTTTAATGTCATCACGTTCCTGCCGCAGTGACCATGACCATTTCACGACAATATGTGCTTTTTCTGCCAACAACGTCCAGATGATACTCAGTGTTGAGTGAATGCCAGAGTGCTAGATTGAGTGAATCGCTAATAATGGTGGCTCCCAGTGGAAAGATGCAGGTACTTGTGGCTGTTAATGGTGCTAGCACCGAACTGGTCCGTCACCAGGTGGGCTGCTGAACAGTGTTTTTCCGTATGTATGTGTGTATACACTGGTCGAACAGTGTTGCGAGACCGAAGTCACTTGCTCCGTTACCGTTGTCAGGAAAATCATGGAGCCCTTGTGGCCTGTGCTACTTTTCGCCGCGGTGCATATCTTCATCGTGCTCAATGTGGCTTCGGTAAACAGTGACTTGACCTGAAAGTCTGGTGTTCTAGACACCTAAGCCATTCCAATTAAATTCAAAGCGGATGGCGGGCAACTCCTGAGGTGACAACTTGTCCGACTTCACTGAGCTGGCGAAGGTTTTCGATCCAAGAGTCAGTGATGCTCTCAGTTCGTGATCCCTCCGTGCTCGTTCCAAAAGAACGGTTCTCTTGGTCTTGGGCAATCTGTGCTGTGATATGACATGCTCCAGAGGTTGCCACCGGGTGGTCCATATTAATCCCACTGTTCACAGCTCTGCCGCTCCGGATCGACAGGTATGTTTAGCACAGGGGTAGAGTCAAACGGAGCTGGCTAGGGCCGGTTCTTGTCACAGAAAGCCAAAGCGGTGTTCCTCTGAAGCCATGCCATGCGCCGGCTGTTCCGAGCCTTCGCGCTCGGGATGGCCGTGGGGATTTCGGCACTCTTCATGTCAAGGTTGGGCTTAAGCAGACCACTGTGTCTCTGTCTCACTGTCTTGCCCCCATCTCATGCATCCTTGTGGGTCTCTCTTCGTCTGCACCTCGTGTCATCTGCAAGCGCGGGCTCAGTTCATTCAGGCAGCCGTGCTATCGATATGGCATAAATCATACATCTATCTTGCAAGCTCGAAGGGTCTCAGATGCTTTTTGCCACCATCACATCGTGCTGCACAAGGCAGTGCCAAGGCTGCCCCGTTGCTTGACAGGTATTTCATGGGCCGTGGCAATGATGCACGCAGACGTGCAGGAATGTAACCTGGCTGCTGTCTGGGTTAAGTGAGGATAGTGGGCTTAGGACAGTCTTTAGGTGTGTTACTGGAAATGGCTGCCGAGCCGAGTAGGAGACACAACACTTATGGAAAGATTGCTGTGCAGAGTGCTTTGCAGGACTCCCTGTGTGCTTTGCAGGACTCCCTGAAATTTGCAACCAAATAAGAAAGGGTTGCCGCATGGATCATCTCAAGTTGTCATCTTGTACTGGCAGCAGCTAGCTCGCACTTGAGGCAGCTGCTACACTGGCTGCAGAAAGACAAGGATGCACAACCACCGCTTGGAGGAGCAAGGGCGTTTTTCGCATAGGTCGGAAGGTTGTGTGGGTGGCGCAAGATATACGTAGCAAGAAGCACGGAGACACGGAGACGGGACTGGGGTTTGCTTGCTTGTCGATAAGCTCACGAAGCAGGCAGAAGTGCCACACCCGAAGTGTCAGGAGACCAAGTGGATGAACACCAGTCCGCACAGCAGGGCGAGCCAGGCCGGAATGGCGACATTGTTTTGAAAAACTTACATGGAGGTCCCACTTTGTTTCGTGAATCCGTGACCAGGCCAGGCGCAGAAGGTGTCAGCAACTACGCAGAGCTCCTATGCAGGCAGTGCCTCGGTGCCAGTGAGGCTCGGCTTGCTCTTGCCGGAGGCTCTTAACCCGAGCGGGCTGTCCTTGCAACGTTCTTTGAAATTCTCTGATCTCTTCAACAAAGGTCCTGTGGCGCCCGGAAGCCTGTGGCTTGGGAACACACCCTCCCAAGAGCCTTGTCTTCTACGCCTTAGAGCGCCGGCGAGGAGGAGGTCGGATTCTCCATGCCCAACACGTCTAGTGCTTAACCATTCTACGAGACCTTTGTGCAATTCGTTTTCTTTTGCAAGATACTTGGCCTTGGTATCACCCCTCACCTTTTCTGTATCTTGGAAGCCTTGCAGCGGTTCATTACAGCTACCGACGCCTCAAGTCTGCTCGTTTCCCAGAGTAGTTTCTTGAAGCCCCAACGCTACGCCGCTACCCTCTCCGTCCCTCGCAAAGCAGCCAAGGAGCTCTCGGCTGCCGAGGTGGACTCGATGGCCGCCCCGCCGGCACAGCCTCGGCCCTCGAGGATTCACTCGAGTCCTTCTGCGGAGCTGCACGCTCACTGAGACGAGCGCAGGAACCACGACTTTGTCCTCTGTGCGAACGTAGCAGGCCGGGCGGGTTGTCAGCGGGTATCGGTTCTCAGCTGACACAGCGCAAAGCCGGTCTGCCCCCAAAAGTTTCAGCACAAGCGTGCCCCGCAGCTCTGTTGTGGCTCGTGTCGAGTCTGGCACCTTGGAAGGAACTCTGGGCAGCTCGCTGCAAGCCGCTAAGGCATTGACACTTGGTTGGTGATCTATCAAAGCTAAATGCTCTTTGACTGGTTCGATGCTTTAGGAGTTCCTGCTGATGCCGATGGGATTTCTGACATGAGACAGCTCCATCCAATAAAAGCAACAATCTAGCGCATCAAGCATCGTCCGTGCCGCAGGCCTTCTTCACGATCGCCTCCAGGATTCGGCAGAGGCGTGGATCCGAGCAGTTCCATGCGTGTAGTCTTCGTGTTCGAAGCTCAACCATCAAAACTGCACTGTCTCCTTCCCGCTAAAGGCTGTAGCTCGTGAAGTTTAGATCCGAAACTGCTGTTTGTAATTCACGAGCACGGCCCAACCAATTAACTCCAGAGCGGTATCCTACACCGGTTCTGCTTGTTCGTGATGTCATGCAGGGGATGGCGTGTTCGAGTGCTTCTTCCGGCCATCGGCGGCACGGAATTCGACAATGTCCGCCTGGATGAGAAGAATGGCACCTCCTTGGCCAAGGTGCTGGATCTGCAGCTCGACCCAAAACCATTGTCAGGATTCCCTATATTCCAGGGCACCAGCTGTCGGACTTGACAGCACGGGCTTAGTAGAATCGCAGCTTTGAAAAAAAACATGTCCAAGAAGTCTTTTGGCGTGTTGCGGCAGTGTTGAGAGCTTCTCCGTGGGCAGCGTGTATTGTATCGTGTACATACGTGACGGTGATGAGCGTCACGGTGTGATATTCAGATGCAGTTCAAGTTTATTATGATCCGTTTGGTTGGCACGAGGACTCGACTTCGCAAGCTTCTAGACATTGACGAGGACGCCGCCTGATGTCGCCGAAGCTGCAGGGCTGCAAGTCGGGGCAGCAAGTCCGATGCAGTTTATGAATCGGACCACCTGTTGTGGAGGACTCTGCCGCGACGGTTGAACCACGGAAGAAGGTTTGTTGGGAGAAGGGCGCTGATGTCTCTGTGTCGCATGTCCGCAAGTCCGGGATGTCTGCGCAGTACCACGAAGGTAGTGCAGGATCTTGCTTCCTGTGCACTCAACTGCAGGTTCAGCTTGGTTCAGATACGGAACGAACAGCTCCGTGGTGTGACAGTGCCCCACATTTGGCTAGGCGGGAGTGTGGGCGCATATCCTTGAACATGCGGACCGGTGGTCACTTGGGCAGTTCGTCCATGTGACAGGGCCAGGATATGAACGGTGGATGTTCGAGCAACTGTTTGACAACCTCGGGACACTTGCGTGACACGGCTAGCTGGTAGACTGTCCTCGCAACTTTTGTCTTGCGGTGTCGGCATGAGCGCTGTCGCTCAAACATTTTACTCGTGTTGGTGCGGCCGTTAAATCCTAAGTCCTTTATCGAAACCGAGCCGAGGAATGCACCCAATTTCACTGATGCGATCCGGGTTTTCTGGCAGTTCCGCGGCTTGAGCAAATCTTCTTCTCGTAGATTCTGTCACGTCATCCATGAGAAAATACAGCAGAACACCCAAGAAAGCAGCACGGTCATCATGGAGTTTCGGCAACAAGGATGCGGAGCTCCAGCCCGACGGAGTGCAGTCCCTTCGTGTACCCAGATCTGGCATTTGAGGCCTGGAATCTCAAAGATCTGTCGAAGTCACCAAGACTCGGGTTGAAGACGTGTTATTATTCGTGTCATGCTGGGTACCATCCGCGAACATCGAATCACGTGGTGCCGTGCATGTCTTGAAGCTGTTTCAGATTCTCTTTTTCCGCAGTTTGGTGGTCTGCCGATGTCCACACTTCTCGACTTCATATCCGCCAGACGCTGGCACCACAGTCTTAGACTTAGAAATGGCAAGCCTCCAGTCCAGGAGCCCTGACAAGCATCCATAACCAGGCAGAAGGCCTGCAAAGCCTCTCAAGCTCAAGTTGCAGGTGGGCCAGGCCATGCTCCTGAAGCCACCCGAGAGAGCAGAACCCTGTGCCTTCGTCTACGCTGGGAGCTCGGGCTGGAGATTAGGTCTGCTTGTTCAATTCGGGCTTGTCAATAATGCACTGCAGAGCCTTGCCTGACCTCACCGTGAATTGATGGGCTCGCTGGAGGCTCCCTGCAAGCGCCGCTTAATTCTGGGGCTGCTTCTCTGTTTTTTCCCGCATGGCAGTTACTGCAGTACCGAAAGCCAGCCCCCGGTTCTAGCGGAGTTTCTCATCAACCGAAGGTTGCAACAAGGGGTGTGGGGAAAGGGTCCCCAAAATCTGGCCACACCGTGCCGGTTTCCCGAGCTGCAGCTGGAACTGGATTTTGCTGCTGGGGCGGACCCCTCCTTTTCGAGCTGTCGGCTTGCCCTGGAATGGAGAAACAAGTCGCCAATGATGCTCATGATGCTCGCTTCCCGGGCCCGGCCGGGCGCCAATGATGCTCATGATGCTCGCTGCGCTGGCCCCGGCCAAGCATCAATGATGCGCATGAGTTTCTGTTGAATGGCTTGCTTGGCTCGTATGATCATGGTTGTAATCAGGGGGTTCGGTCGATACCGATACATATGCGGTATCATACCGAATACCAGCCACACCAGCCAAGCCCCACCAGCCACACACCAGCCACGCCCACACACCACACCCCCCACCAGACAAACCAGCCACCCTCGCCAGCCACACACCACCCGCCCCCCACCAGCCACACCAGCGACACAACGGCCACTCCCACCAGCCACACCAGCCATACACACGAGCCACGCCCTCACACCAGCCACACCAGCCACACCAGCCACACCAGCCATGCCAGCCACACCAGCCACACCAGCCACATCAGCCCACACACCAGCCACGCCGCAACCAGCCACACCAGCGACCCCACCAGCCACCAGCCACACACCAGCACGCCTCCACCAGCCACACCAGCCACACGCCACCAGCCACACCAGCCACCAGCCACACCAGCCACACACAACCAGCCACGCAGCCACACCCTCACCCGCCACACCAGCCACACAGCCACCGCCACGCCCCTGACCACCACCACGCAGGCCGTGGCTGGTGCGGCTGGGTGGTCTGGCTGGTGTGGGTTGCCCACCAGCCACATCCCTAGCAGCCACTCGCCAGCGTGGCTGGTGTGGGGGCGTGTGGGCTGGTGCTTGGCTGGTGGGGGCGTTGCTGGGTGGTGTGGCTGGTGTGGCTGGTGTGTGGCTGGTGTGGGGGCGTGGCTTGTGGCTCCCTGTGGCTGGTGGCTGGTGTGGCTGGTCGAGGGCGTGGCTGGTGTGGCTGGTGAGGGCTGCGGTTCGGATTGCGATACGCGGCGGTTTGCGATAAACTGCGATAAACGTATTGTTGAAACCTTAAAAGTAGCCCTTGAGCCATGCTCTGTGCCGGATGCAGACGTCGCGTCCGAGTAACAGTCCGCTTGCCTGCCTCGGCTTGTCCACTGCTGCTCTGCCCTAGCTTTTGTCCCAGTCCCTCCTCCACAAGTTGTAGCCAATCGATGGCTGGCCGGGCTAGGCACCCTTGCGACAACCGAAAGGATTCGCCACGGGAGCTGGGTGCTCCTCCTGCCTGAAGCAGTTTTCGTCAACCTCCTTGTGAGTACCCCTGGAACTGCAACTGCGCAGAAGTAGAAGCGACCGCGCGGCGGCAGCGAAGCAGCCCCCAGCGGTACGTCAGCTGCGCAGGTCGGTCCCATCATCCGCCGTGATCGGCTGTGGCACTTGCGGCCGGGGCCAGACTTCACGAAGAGCCTCGAGCTGGATTGGGTGTCCTTCTGACTCTCTTTTTCGCTCCCATGTCTAGGTCCTAGGTCTAGGTTGCAATCGCTTTGGGTTGATTGGGTCTGATATTCTTGAGTTTTGAGGCTAATGATGATTCGTTTCAGCTGATGGGCGCTTTGATAGAGGGTTTGCAGTCCGCCCCGTCATATTTGGCGAAGGCTTAGCTTAGCTGCATTGGCATGGTGAATCATTGAGTCATTGGTCTGCTTCAGCACTGCAGGTGGTGTCCGCAGTGCTCCTTGCCGGACCTTCCTGCTTGGGTGAATGCCACGGCCAAGAAGATTGGCTCGTTGCTGAAAGAGTGGGGGGCTGAGAGCACAGCAGTTCTTTGCATACAGTTCTCTGCTAAATGCCTTGCGTTTGGATTCAAGCAGATTGGTCCAAAGCTCCATCAGCAAATCCGAAGCCAGGGCCGCGAGGCCAAGACAGCCGGACCTGCCAATCCCCCTAAAAGCAGGCAGCAGTTGACCTGCGCCACTTTCTATGTCCGCCTCCTCGGCCTTACCAGCACGGCCGCTCGGTTCATCAGTCAAGACCAGCTACAGCCACAAGAACTAGTTTGTGACGACTGCAGCAGAGGAGGAGAAAGATCTCGGCCTCTTCCCGTAGACGGTTTGCGACACATCCCTGCTCTTATGCCTGACTTCACTGCTGCGCTGAGGAATTTCTACAACTCATCCAGGATGGGGCGGCTACAGCAGGTGTTCCATTTGAGGCTTCGCGGATCAAGAAACGGTCGTGCCGCTTGTGCATGGAGGCCAACATGGACGCTGGTCTTCACTTCATGAGCTGCCACAAACGAAGATTGCTTTTTGGTGGTATCTGGATGTCTGTGTATCTTGTACATGTAAGGAGGTTCTGCAGCGTGCGGCGGCCTCGCCATTACTGATAGCAGAGTACGGCTCCTTCTGGCCGGACCGGTTTCCTGTCGACTGAATCTTTATCCTTCCTGTGAAGCGAGCCAGTCTTTAACAGCTCTGTGTGCGTTCTGTGCAGTAAGCAGGACCTGCCGGCAATGCACTTGCTGGCCCGTGGGGCCACTGCCTGGGCCCCAAAGATGGCCAGAAGGTCTCCCTCAAGAATCGCAGCTGCCTCCAAGGTTGCCTATCTGCATGGGGACGTCTCTGTGCGCACGTATCTATCGAATATGAAGGAGGCAGGATTCGATACGGCACTGCTGGTTGCTGCACATGTGCAACAACATCAGGATGTGCCTTCTCCCACGAAGACAAACCCAAGAGAGGCTAGCGGGTCGCCTGGAGAAGTTCGACAAGATCTGGATCCACGTAACGACGTTGCATTCGGTCGTCTTGGATGCAAGGACATCTGCCCGCAGTCGCTTCTTGCTGCCCCTGTCAATGACTCTGGATGAGGACGCGCTTATCTACCGTGGAAGATGCATCGACTACCGCGGCTGCGTTTGCAATCTGACGCTTACTCGAGCTCTTGCTTTAAACTGCCTAGCGAGGAGGGCAGCCTGATCTTAGGAGACAAATCTGGAGGTCCTTTAGTTCGTAGTGACACGGACACGTGGCTGCAATTGGTATCATAGCACATTGGATCGCTGTTTCGTTGAAGATGGGCTGTAGGCAAGCATTCCGGGTCTGCACATGAGCTCCCTTTGAGTTTTAGGAATGCTGGCCTGAAGATCAGCCCGTATGATGACGCTCGGATGAGCCCTGACGACGACAGCACCACCACAAGGATGAGACCTTGAGATGATCCCGGAGTCACTGGCGGTCGACCGGAGGGTCACACGACGGATCAGTGGCGGCTGCAGCTTGCAGGCCCACCAGCTGAAGGAAGCCTTGTCCGGGAACCTTTCACGAGCAAGAAGGCTGCTCGGACCCACCACCCGGTCTCAAAGGGTGTGCGGGCGGCCTTCCAAGAAGAAGCCGAAGCCTTCGAGGAGACGTCGGGATGCGGAGTGCAAATGCCACCAGGGACCCATCGGGCCCGAGCCTGCGATATCGGATATCCAAAGGTGCTGCAGCTGTACTTTGCTGATGTCGGACGGTCAGAGATCTTTGCTTTGGGATCTGTACCCCTGGCCCTGGCCACGTTTTGCAAGGTACCAACCTTTTTGGTGACTTCAGCTCGGAGCTCGGTGAGCTCGGTTCCGCAAGGGATTCCAGGTGCATGTGAACGGTTGCACGCGAAGCTTTCCGGCACGCAGAGGCCCCCAGGCTGCCATGATGAACCTCATGCAGAGTGACGGCCTTGGTGATGCGATGCCCAGAGAGATACGAGATCAGTGTCTTCAGGTTAAGTGGTTGCTTGTTGCACTCGTTGTGCCTCAGTGCCCTCAGCGGCAGCTCATGTTCCGACTGCCGTGTTCGTTCGCCGCAGCCATTTTTTTATCGAAGCTTTGGTATCTCATTGACCATTTACGGCGGACGTCCCCGGCTTTATCTCGTATGGACATCGACTTCGATGTAGCAGAGATGAGCAGGTACCATGATGTTTGGTAGAAGCTTCGGGATTGAAGAATGCACTCTCGCAGCAGTGCCCTGTGCCTGTCCACAGGTGGGTGGTAGGTGACGTGGATGACGATGAGGTGGCAGACCATAATGCAGCCGGGGAAGCGGATCCTCGGCTGATGTACATCGCGAGCATTGCATGGCCTCAAGAAAGCAAAGCGTGAATGAAGAGCCCACAGTCCAAGGAGACCATCTACGAAGAGTACAAGTCCCTTGCCGAGCTGGAAGAGCGCATCTTGGCACCTCTGGCCTGCCGCGGATGGCAGCGAGTTCAGGTAAGATCGAGGGCTCAGGTCGTGGGCAGGGCTGTTCGTCCCTGCTGTGGGCCCGGAAGTTTTCCGGCCTTTGGGAAGTGGGTGTACCTTTAACCAACGATGAGGTTTGGAGGGGTGGTGTGCAAGATTTGAATCGGGCTTTTTGTAGGCCGTGCGGACGCCGGCAGCCGATGGGATGCAAAATCGTGCCCGAAGACCCACGTACGTTTCAAAGTTTTGGTGCTCTCTGACATGAAGGACCGTAGTCGCTTGCCCGCTTGAATCTTTGTCTTGGGGCTTCAGAGAATTCTTCGAGCTTAGAGTTTATGCTTGCAGACAAACTTGCCAGTCTTCTGATTCTTCGAGCTCCCCGGGTTCTCCGAGAGCCGGATTTGCATGTGTGCATGACTCCATCCTAAGTATTATGAGGTCGGACGCATAAGTGAACATTTATTTGCAGGGCAGCATGACTCCGTGAATGGAACTCCGGCGGGCAGGGATCTCCCATGAGGGGTTCGCAATCTGTGAGTGGCATTTGCGGTGTGAAGAATTGAACCGCCGCTGTGCGTGTGCAGCACTTTGCTGGGAGCACGGGCAGTTGTGGAATAACTTTCCAACCGATGCCAAGGGCTTCAGAAAAGCACGGACGAGGACCTCGCCAGTCGAATAAGTGAGGTCGCGTGCTGGGGTGTGGTTTTTAATTTAAGACTCAGGCTTCCACAAGGAACTTGTCCTTGTTTCTGCTGCAGTTTAGGCCTCAGGTAGCTAGTTAAACCTCTTGAGCTTGATTTCTCATCTCATTGGAGTGGATGTTCTTTGGAGCCGATTTGGATAGTGTCAGTTGGTCGCAGCAGAAAGCTAGTTTCGGTGCTGAAAGGCTCTGGCCCTGCGGCACACCGGGGCGTTGCAGCGGCAAGTGGAGAAAGCTCTTTGTCAGGGTATGGCGAACCCTCTTAGAAGAGTCTGACTCCACTCGAATTCTCAGGCTTTAGCAGGAACTTGCGTGGTGGGACGCTTCGTGGTTCAAAGCTCGACGGAAACGAGTGACTCTCGGCTGCTGACGGGCTCAGGAACAGCAGAGCGCATGAAGGGCATGGAGCGTTGCCACACCGAGGAGCGAGTGGCCCGAGCGCAGCTGGTCGTTGAGAGGGGTCCAGAGTTGCTGCTGAACCGCTTGGTGCCGCCGTCAGCTTCAGCAATCCTTCAGCCTTCTGGCATTTGAAGACTTTTCAACGGTCTTGCGACCACAGCATGCCGAGACTGGAGCCGAGCACGCTGGGTTTGAAGCATGTCTCTCTGGTTGGTGAAGACTGCTGGCTGGACTGTCATCATGCCGATGAACCGGTTTTGGGAATCGGAAAATCTTGATGTCTCGGCGCACGGAGGTGAGAGTCTACACATTGCAAAACCGCAACCGTGCTCGCCAAGGTGGGGAACTCTGGATCGAGTCATCAACATGTGCCTTAACACGTTCCTGAAACCCGGGAGAAAACTTCCCCACAGCCGGGAGCACTTCAAACTCTGTTTACAATAAGCCATGAAGGGCACAGAGAAGACAGACAACGACAGACATGTTGTATTCATGGTTCTGAAACCGACTTGATGCAGGAGATGAAGTATGGGTGGAAATACGGCACTGCGCTCTCGACCAAGCATCAGTCATTCTCAGAGATGGCAACCAGTCTCTTGACAGTGTGCAGAAAGCCGATAGCATGTTGATACTTCTGTGCCTGTCTCTGTTAAATGCAACCACACCGAGCTATACCGTGCTCGTGTTTGCCGTGTATATGACTTGTAGCGAAGTGCCTGTACAGTGTTTGGTGGCCCAAGGACCCCTGAGCAGATGCTGGGCTACTTCTGCCTGTTTGGGAGTGTCCTCCGAGCTGAACGGGCATTAGACCCGAAGTTGCGTTTACTTCACACTTCAGCCCTCCTTTGACTTCTGTAATGTGGGTTGCCGAGGAACAGGTGCCCTCACGGACGGACTACCTGTGCAAGCAGTCGCAGATTCAGTGGCAGTCGCTTTGTTCAATGCTTCTGAGCTCTCGCGGATGTGGAACTACATGCGACAAGTTGTTTTGCGATGTTCCGGCTTGGCGAAAAGCCTGTGCCGACATTCTGGACCTTTGTGTTCGCATAGGAGCTGTCTACACAGTTAGATGTCGAAAGTGCATGCCCACTGGTGCTCGAAGCTTGCTGCATTTGGACAGCGTGCTTCGTGGTGCCAAGGACAGGAAGGCTAATCTTCATTCCTTTCTCTCAGGAAGTGCCGGTTCTTCAGGCTCGGTCCTGACATGAGCTTTGCACAGATCAGGTTCCGTGTTGGAGACATGGAGGGCTCGTCCTGCAATGTCTCAAACACTGTCGTGTGTCTATGTCCGAGTGTCAGAGAGAGAGAGAGAGAGAGAGAGGGGAATCAGTCCGCATGCAGGCCTAGCAAACCTTGTACAGGAAAGTAGCGACGTCTCGTAACTCCCTCAGCCTGTTCCGGGGGGACTTGGTTGCTGCGCTGAGGCCTTGTTTGATTGTTTTCTCTGAACCGCCGAAACGGCTGAGACTAGTACCTGAGAGTCGTTCGTGCAGCACACCATGCCTTTGAAAGATAGGGGAAGTCGGGGGATGAAGTGTTAATGCTGTTTCCTGGCTTGTTTTGCTTTGGGTGTTTTGCAATAAACCGGCTCAGCAAGGGGGGAGCGGTTGTTATAGGCATTAAGGACTTAGCCTAAGAGGGCGCGGAGACGAGGACAGGAGCGTAAAGTTCGGTGGTGGGCGGTGGGCTGATGCAACAACCGCACACTGCCTCCCGAACAAGCCTTTGGAGCGAATACCCCTCCAAAAACCCCAAAGCCACTTCCCTACTAAACGAAAAAATAGGGGAGGGGGCGCCTCAGTGCGGGTCTGCAAGGAAGGAAAGGGAAAGGAAAGGAAGGAAGGAAGGAAGGAAGGAAGGAAGAGAGAGAGAGAGAGAGAAGGGGGTGCACCATGCGGTGCGGGGATCCCTAGGCCCCGGAGAAAGAAGACTAAGAAGAAGAAGAAGAGAGAAGGGACGCAACTACCCACCACAGCCTGGGGAAAGAAAGAAAGAGAGTGCCTTTTCCTCAGGGGACTTGAGTCCGTTCTTTCCCTCCTCCCCACAAAGCCCAACAGCAAGTGTGGGCTTGAAGCCCGGGGGCCCTTGACAGCCCTCCATGCCCTGCAGAGCAAAGCAAAGCAAAGAGAGAGAGAGAGACCCCGGGAAGTGGTTGATTCTCTGACTTTTCCCACCAGGCCCCTGAACAGTGGTGGGCCTTTCGGCCCGGGAGTCTTGACACGACTCCCATGCTTGACACACTCCTTTGCCCCTCTGGAAGAAGTATATATATATATATATATATTATACACACATACATGCATAGTTTTTTCTAGTGTGGAAGCCCTTTTGCAATGTTGGAGGACGTCTTGGCCTCGAGAAGCTGAGAGAGCATGTGCACGTGTGGCTTCGGTTTCTGACCCAACGAAAGAGGAGGAGAGAGAATAGAGTCCCGCACCGACCTGGCGAAGACCTGTAGCAGGGGTGTCGGGAGAATACTTTTCAAGGGGAAAGCTCAACAAGACCCGCCCCCCCCAAAGTCTGAATGGAGGTCGAAGACAGCAGTCGTCAGCATCCATTGGATCGAGTGTATCGTCTCAGGATCGCATCTCGATTGCATGCCTTGTGCCGAGACATGGCTTTCTATGTGTGATGTGAGGGTTGGTTCTTGTGCTTTGCTTTCATTTTGAATGCAGCGGTGCGACAGTCTTCTCGTGAGGTCGACTGGCCCGTGACATCGCTACGACCGAAAGCACTGATGCTGGGACACGGTTGGTTGGGATCCAGCTTGATCGGGAGGCTCGGAAGTTGCGACGCAACTCCAAGCTGAGGATTGTGGAATCTTTCCGGCAGCCGGGAAGCTTCCGGGATGGTCATGAGAGCACCTTGCACTTCTTCTGCAAGGACTTGTAAGGGTCTGCTCGTAATCGGCATCACATCGGGCGAGTGCAGCATGAGGACCTGGAGCAGGCGCTGCCTGAGCAGGTGGCAAATCCGTTTCTTTCTGTCACGCAACATGTGATGGCAACACATTTTGCGTGTCCTGACAGCCTGCTGCGGCGTTACCACGGCCACTCCGCACGCAGGAGGCGAGTCCGGGTGAAGATGTTTGCATGAGGTGCCGTGAAGTCGTATAAATTCGCATAAGGCTTTGCAGTAGGTCAGTGTACCTGTGAGGAGCGGCGGGACCTTTCCGATGCAGAAGCTTTCTCTATAGGCCAAGGGGCCACGCTGAAGCTGAGTTTATGCAGCTTCATCCTCGCCTGCACAGCTTCAGCACTGGTCATTGCCACATTTTCCAGTTCCGTAAAGCCAGCCGCTCCCTGAGACTCGGCCGGGACAGATCTGATAGACGACGCGCTGGAGTTCGACGAACAGCAGGGGGTTGCTCGGTGGACTTTACGTTGCAAAGATGGATCGCATCGATGACGAGACAGCTGCTGCTCATTCACTCGGCTTTGACAACCACAGAACATGTCTCAGAGGGCTTTCATCGTTTCATCTGTGTCGATCTGCGCGATGGGCAGGTCGTTCGAGTGCACATTGCAGATGTGGCATCCTTTGTCAAGTCCGGAAGCACAGTGGACAGAGATGCAGCCTACATGGGCTGTGGCTAGGCATGATCTGACTCAGGGTTGCCATGTTCTGGCTCTTTGTTTGATGTGCACCCCCGACAGCCGAGGCAGCATTTACCTCCGGAATCATTGTGACACGGTTCAGCGTCCCGGAAGCAACTGTTCACTAGCACCGCCTTTCTGGCACGTGGCGATAGCCGGCCTCTAGGTATTGTCGTTCCATGCTGCCGCAGAACATCACGGAGGCTGCTAGTCTTGCAGAGGGGCAAAGGTGTCCAGCGTTGACCTTCGAGTTCAAGACGAGCCGAGGTCGGACCTGCACATGGTTTTTGTGCGATTGTACTGCTGCAGTTGCCATCTTGCAGGCCGCACCGGCGATGTGACCTTTCAGGGGTTCTTCCGATCGACTATCCGACTTCGCGAATCAATGAGCTTCGAGGAGGCGGCAAGGGCCCTCGCAGACGTGACGGCGCCATCAGCAGGACTCGCGGAGGGGTTGTGGCGAGGGGCCTTGGCTGCTTGGCATTCAGATCGGAGTTTGGTGGGGGCTGGTGCGACGCATGAGGAGTACGGCATGCTCTGCGGGCGCTCTGGGAGGTTACCAAGAAGGCAATGGCACGGCGCCTGCAGACGGATGAGGCGCCTGGATGCGCCTGGCCAAACAGCAGATTTTGGTCAGCTGCGCTTGAAAGCCCTTGAGGCCTACGCCTTGAGATGCCCTTGGCTTCAAGACACCGGCGAGGCTTAAGCTAACGAAACTGGCCTTCCGCCTTCCACCCTTCAGCTCACCGTTGAGGCATCTGATGCTCGACGGCTGGTGGAGTTTTGGATGACGCAGGTCACTCTGCACACTTTATTTTGTAACATCTTGCTTGTCGCGTTTGTCAGAACATGTAAAAAAGGCATACAGCATGCCGCAGCATACCCTTCATAAGTTGGTTGGTAGACTGCAGATCGCAGTTTCTCGCTCAGGTGAACGAGTGCAGTGGTCGCCTGATTTCAGCCCGGCGCACGAAACTAGGACGCAGCTTCATGGATGACATGACTTTGACCGTCTTGGATTTCCGCTGGAGCGAAGCGTTCCTCTCGAAGGGAATCTTCAAATGTGGGGTCTACGCTGAAGCCCGAGCATCCCAACCCCAGAACTCTGCCAGATCTTAGGAGGGAGTTGCGGTGTCTCCACTGCTTTCCGTGCCCGGATGGAAACCACTTCTCCAGGCCCTGTTGCTCTAACACAGTCGCCACGGCCTTGTGGTTTGCCAGATGGGTGCCGGCTGGGTTCGTGATACAGGAAAGGCGGACCAGACTCGTCCCGACAGACCTTACAGCAGAGTGCTAGAAGCAGCAGTCTGTTGCCAGGCTGTCCATGCTCTGCCGGGATGCCACTTTCCGAGCCCTGCAGAGAGAAGGCCATGCAGCTCGACGAAGTCGGCTCGGAATCTGCCCGTCCTTGCGACCGCGAGGGTAGAAACTCGATGCTCCCAGGAAAGCCTGATCACCAAGCTTCACGAGTCTCCAAGCAGATGCCGCGAGAATATTGCCGGAGTCCTCAAGCACGCACTGCGGCTTGCTGCATCCCAGTCTGGCGCTGTGAGCCCGAGCCTCATTTCTGTGCTTGCGACAAGCCTCGCACACTTCGTCAGTCTCAGCTCAGTCTTCACGCTGTTGCTTGGTGGGATTTGTTGAGGGATTCCGGGGAGACGCCTTTTCGTCATCTTGTGCTGTCGCCGTGTCGGCCGCAGGGTTCCTTCCTGTTTTCTTTGTGCCTCGAGCTTCTGTGGAGCGTTGCTACCCCGCAGTGCCGAGGCTGGAGCTCCGGCAACCTAGTCGCATTTACTTGCACCATGAGGGAAAACCAGAAGTGCGGGCATGTAACATCCCGAGCCGCTCGAATAAAGCAATCAAGCAAACAGGGGCAAAACTAGTCACATCACTGCGACAGTGTAGAGAACCTCACGTCCGTGAGGTAATCATCACATCTTTGAGACCGACCAGTGCAAGGCCTGGCACCTGCAGCAGTAGCCTTGTCAATGACACGGGTGGGATGGAATCGGGTAGTGGAGATGAACATCTGCTGCCGCTGAGCAAGCGTTGCGGGCAGCCGCCACGGGACAGAGTAGCTGTTCTGGTAGGCAAGGCATCCTTCTCGGATTTCGGCAGGCTGCAGCTGTTTTTCGACATCAACTCAGTCAGTGTGTTCCTTGACTGACAGAATAGCCCTGTGCCGAGAACCGACCCAGTACTGCGACCAGTGATACACAGTCGAGATCTTCCCTTGAACGCACAAGGTGCCTCCCGCCTACTACTTGACAATGGAAGGCTCCAAGCCGCCGATGCAGTGGCCCTTCTTACAAAGTGGCGAGTACTTTCAGGCCGAGCTGCTTTTTTCCAACAACAACCTGGAAGAGGTTAAAAAGTAAAACAGGAATCTCGAAACAGATCATGCGAGGTATGTTAGGCTCAGACATGCCCTGCTTGGAATGTAAGCATCGTGTCCTGGTGGGAAGGTGACGTCCCCCCTTCGGCGCTGGATTGACCTGCTTGGGCAGCGTCCCTCGATCTGCAACTGCTAGCCCGTCGTAGCCTTGAGATCACGGCTTTGCCCAAACAGATGCTGGGCAGCCTTGGCTGCGAGATGGGCTAGAGGGTCGACCTCTCCGAATGGGTTTAGGAAGCAAGGCAACAAACCGGGTGCAAACTTTTGCGGGATGTGCCGATGGCTCTGCAGACTCGACCTGCATCACTTACCTCTCGTCACATCTTCAATCTCATTCCAAGGCTAATGAAGGGTACCGTATTTTCTGACTCCTGACGGACTCCTGACCCTCTGACCCAATGATTCAAGGGTGAAGGCCATTGACTCTGAAAACTTGGTGCAAGAGGCTTCTCGGCTCCTGCAAGTTGAACTTCGACGCGCTGCGCCGTAGCGCGGCTGTTGCGAACATGTGTGCAGGGCCCGGAAAGTTGAGAAGGAAAGCCCAGGGTCCTGGCATTGCAGGGCTGGAAACTGGCATGGTATAGCAGTGAAGTGAACAGGTAGTCATTGCCACAGATCGGCTTTCGCACCCAGGTAATGTTCATCGATACAACGAGATGCAATCCTTCGTGAAACAGGTCTGTGGCATGCCTGCAAGGATGGGTGTACCCTCTTAAAGATTCAGAGGTGTGGACCAGGAGTTATTCTTCCAATTGTATGTAGACAGCGGGAGAGCATGACCAGCATTGTGTCGCAAGGTGCTCGATACGCATTTCTGACATTCTGTGCGGACCTGTTGAAGTGCGAGCGCAAGATGAACTGTATTGTGAGCCGGGTGGACCAGGGCTCTATCCAGCTGGCATGTCCGGTGACGTGCTTGAACTGGGCATGCCGCAGTCAGTTTGTGTTTTCGTGAAGACATAACTAGCACCAAAGCTGTCCTGCAACATGAAACTCCAAGGGTTTTTGCACGTTAACCTAAGAGTGCTGAACATGGTTCCCGGCTCTCGCGTGCAACGCTGTCGGTCCTGCCCGGTGCATCCTGCACTGTGACCCTGCTGTGAGCCGAGGAAATGGTAGGCTTCTTTCGCAGTATTCACATTCCGCTGGGGCTCTTGACCAGCCACGATCTTGCTGTGCGCCCCGTAGTCGAGGAGAAGAAGGTGGGGTGGGAATGGGGAATGTAGGACAGGGCCTTTTCGGTGCATGTTCTGTGCGGAATTGGCCGTGCGTGTACGTTGTCAGTTCGTCTGATCGTCCGTGCATCCCTTCGTCGGTCCATCCAAAAACTAATCTGATCGTCCATTGGTCCTTTCGTGCGTTCACGGTTCGTAAGTTCGGCCCGGTCGTCCGTCCGCCTTCGGGCCACAACCGGCGAGACATGTGGCGACAGCCACTTTGGGGCTAAAGGCTGGAGGTTTTGTTGAGTAGCACACTTGTGTGCGAAGTAACAATCGCAACGGCGCAGATGCCTTAGCACTCTGGTCCAAGCTCGGCGCTTAAGCTTTCTCTTTTGCCTTCCTTGTGCCTTCGGCGAT